TTGCAATCTGAGTTAGTTTATTTTCATCCTGATAAATCAAACCCTTTGATAGTTAAAAACTATTGATAATTCAAATGTGTTGCTTGGCCCACCAATTTCAAATTATCAAGAGTTTACCGTTTGTTTAATTTGATCCATAAATAAAAGTAAGTGATGAATAACTGATGGTTAAAATACCCTTTTAAACCGTTATAGGACTATCTCTCACATTAATTCATCTACTAATTGAAAATAAGGGAAATGCACTTTACCTTATGGTAGTCCCACTCTGTTTTAAATAGTTGATGCAATTAAGTTATGATAAAACTGAAATTTAAAATCCCATTTTTTAAGCAGCCAATGCTGTCTAAAGCTTAGGTTAGCTGAAACTACTTAAAAGTAGTTCATGTGAAGATAAAATGGTAAAAAAGTTGAGACAGAGTAGTATCCATTAGGCAAACTGCCGTAAAAGTTTAATTTCCCTACAATTTTTGTAGCTACGCTACGACAATCAGCTAGAACCGTAACATGTTTGTTGCATAGTTTGAAATCTCAAGTATTTATCAACAACACAACATTGTGCAAATAGTTTGATAATGGAATTAGTCACTTGTTGATATTCACTAAATGTTGCAACAGAAAAGATTAGGTACATATCTAGATATAAATTTAGATTAGATCATTTGACCTTTATGGATTTGTGATTTTCCTGTTTATTCTCACGAACCCACCTCTCATTTGTTATTGTTTTCTTACAGTAGAAAAAGATATGTCACCAACCACTACACTACCGATCTTAGTCAGTAAAAAAACTGTCATCTCATTGAAAACTCATCTTCACTTTACCTTGAAGTTTTGGGGTTTTAAAAATCTAATCTGTAGGCTTTATGTGCTACGGTTGGAAATTCGGTTGGAATTTGAAAAGCTGTTCCAGTTCAAAGGATCTACAACAGCTTTTTTTTAGTTATTTTAACAACTGTAATTTTAAAATCTACAGCCCTACTAGGCTACCCAAAATATATTTAGATTTGATTTTTTTCCCCATCCCAAGTCCAAGAACTTGAATTATAATTAAGTAGTTATTACCGTATTATTGTAGCCTCTGTTCTTGTGTTAGTTGTATAGTCTTAAAGAATCTTTATTCATAGTATACATGGTTGTACATGAATAGTGTCAAATAAATTTAAACTAATGCTTAAAACTATGATAAAGCCATTTTCAATTCATGCAAAGAGTATATGGACGGGTCAATTAAATATAGCTGGAGAAGTTTTTTTTTTTAATGTTGGGTTTTTGTTCTGTTTTAATTTTCAAAGGAATAAAATTTAAAAATTCATGTCCTGCATTGACAGTCTTTTTTCAAATCTTTGTTTTCCAATTACAAAGTTATTTTTGTTACCTGTATTGTAGCTATGATTGTTTTCTATTTTTGACAAACATAATACAGTACAGGCAAGAACATACAAACCATAAACAGTGAGGATTCTTAAATTTTAAAAGTGTTCTTTTGCAAAATCATCTTTGTCCATTTTTAACATAGCTCTGATTGATTGCTTCTGTATTGTCAAAATTTGGTCTAGATTAGAATTTGAGGTGACCCCATATACACATATGCCATAAGATATATAGGATTGAATATTGGAAAAATAAATCATTTTTAAAACTTCAATACTGCTTCAATAGTTTTGATATTTTTCTAATCGCAAAAATACTAGAATTTATTTGATTTAAAACAAGTTTACAATGTTGGTCCCAAGACAAGTTACTGTCCAATGTCAGGCCAAGGAACCTTACGGCTTCTGTTATTTCAATTGGTTGGTTATTTACTTTAATATTAGGATTAGAATTGTTTTTGTTTTGTTTTCTTTTGAATGTGACAAACAATACATGTAGGTATAGGATACATATATAGTATCCTACTTACATTTCAACAACTTGTGTTGCATCTTCCTGTATTATTACACTAAAACTTACACAAAATATTGTGTATATACTCATATTTACAACTATTTTCAATCGCCATCATTACTATCGTGGTCTGCTCGATCGAGCAACGCAACAACATATTTTCAGTAAAGTCATATTGGCAAGAGGTTTTTTTTCTTCCGTTCCATTTCTTGAACTAGAGGTACTGTATTAAAGTTTTGGATGTATGAGCCCCCGTGCTTTTCTCGTACAGTAAATTCAATATTGACTTGTTGGTTTTGTAGTAGAGCTTGGGACTTCGGTGCCTGAGGTTCTGGGTTAAAATCTCTCCAAATCACTTATTGGACTTTATTTGAGTGATAATGACGCAACCTAGGTCTAGCCTGAAGTAATGTGAAAAATGATCCCGGGCTGTACAATACCCCCTACCCGTACCATACAAAGCTGTTTATGTTCATTGTAGTTGTTAGCCTCCGGATTGCCAAATAATATTATAAAAGGTTTAAATACCTGCTATTAAGCAATCCAATTTTGTTGTTGACACAACTAGTTTCGGTGTCTGTGTGACACCATCATCAGGCTGCACAAGGACAGTTTTCTTTCTTCATACGAAGAGCGTCATATTTACACGAAAATAATAAATAAACATTTAAACACGACACAAACACGAATACGAGACATTTATGGTAACTGATCAGTTAAGAAAACAGACGACGCTAACCCGACGGAGTTTGAGTCCAGACTGCAATCAATTTGAGTGGCAGTCTGGACTCAAACTCCGTCGGGTTAGCGTCATCTGTTTTCTTAACTGATCAGTTACCATAAATGTCTCGTATTCGTGTTTGTGTCGTGTTTAAATGTTTATTTATTATTTTCGTGTAAATATGACGCTCTTCGTATGAAGAAAGAAAACTGTCCTTGTGCAGCTTGATGATGGTGTCACACAGACACCGAAACTAGTTGTGTCAACAACAAAATTGGATTGCTTAATAGCAGGTATTTAAACCTTTTATAAGCTGTTTATGGATAGCGAAATATGACATTTTAATATTATCTTAATTCTATTGTGTAATGCACAAAATTTTTAAAATTCTAAAAAGAGCAATAGTTTGAAGTGCGTTAAGGTTATTGTAAAAATTACTTATAGGTCTGCACAAGTATGCAGTATTGTCTTTTCTCAGTTTAATAAAATTGTAGCCTATATATATATTTTAGTTGGTATTATTTAAGAATACAACTACAGTACGCAACCTGTGCACGTACATGTTCAAAATTAATTATGATCGTTTGCAAAAATCTAAAAATAAACCTAAACAAACACCTCAGAAATTTCTTTACACACAATGTTTGGTCTAATAATTTCAAAGCTGTTTAGATTTTGTGTTTCAAAACTATTAATCATATTCAAAAGTGTCATATAATTAATACACTGTTTACTAAGCTGACTTACCTTGTTGCACAAGGGTAGCGTGAGAACGGTTTATCGCTCTTTTAACTCTCACCCCCAACTCCCCCCCCCACCAATGTCACAACCCCTCCATCATTGTGTCAATATGTGACACCGAGGCAAACATTCTGGCATCATAATCGGTCTTCTGTGTTTGACATATGGGGAGAGGGGGGGGGGTTGCATCAGAATAGTTAACTATTAGAAATTACCCACCTCTTCAGTTTAATTTAAAATGACATTTTGACATAGCTATGGTGCATTTTGTTGCATTTTTCGATGTTCGTGTTAACATAGTGGTGTTACTTCTCCTTCGAAAGTTTCTGGTGTCTTTGTTCTAGTCGATTTTCATCTCAAACAATCTTTAAGCAAATTTTATCTGGTCTACTCCCAAAATGGTTCTAAATACCATCTCAGGCATAAATATTGCAGGTAAACTAAAAATTCTCAAAATATAGACCTACATTAAAAAAAAAACCATACTTAATAGGCTACTCATAAAAAATAATTTCTTTCAACATGAAAAATAACAAAGAATTGTAGTGTTTAGATAATGTCGTATTACTTATTTAAAATTACATATTATAACTTGTTTGAGCTAGATTTATTATTAAACTGAACCATTTCTAGATAAAACTGCTTAAAGTTTGCCCATTGTGTTTCCAGAAAAAGTAAAAATTTCCACTCAATAAGGCATTTTACACGGAAAGCTAAATCATCACAACTCTACCATAATAATAATCGTATTCCACATTTTGCTAAGACTATGTGGGCGTTACCTTTGAAGAGGGTATCTGTTTTTGGCAACTTCTTTCAATACTGCTTAATTATAAATGAGTGTAAACTATTTAATTTGTATGCTTTTTGAAACTGTTTGTAATCTAATTGGTTTTCATGTATCGCAACATCTTCTGTAAACATATAGTGTTGTAACATGTGTTAGCTCACTTTTTGTATATTTTCGGAATACCTTTAATTTGGAAATGGTTTATATGGATTGGATGACATGAAATGTTATGTGCTTCAGAATACAAATCAGAAAGCCATCAGAATCAGTTTAGTCTAGTAATGCACTTCACTTAGGGAACACACCAAAATAGTTGTGCGTGAATGTGTCCTCTCATATGATGATTGCATGTCTAATATAGGCCTAATCTGTTTTGCCATCAGATTATATTGATAAGGTAATAATCCCTCATTGCATGTGCTTAGTTAATCATGGTGAAATCGAATGATACTTGATTATAAAAGTTTAGTATTTTGTTATTGCCAATTATATAATCTTTTTAGGGCATCTGGTCATTGTCATCATGAAAATGCCTTTGACAATAATTTTCCATAAATTCTTCACGTTGATGATTTCTCTCAATAATGTAATTTTTTTTACTATATAGTGTGTGTGTATACATATTCAGTTAAAATACACACTTTATATAATAATATATAATATGGCTTTATGTAATATGGAGTAAAATTACAACAAAATTGAAATGTTATTGTGTAGCTACCTATAAAATAAAAGAAAACCACCCTTACTTAGGGGGGTAGGGTAGCACCCCTCTTGTTTATCAGATAAAATTTTACCTACCTAATTCAATCAGCTTTTTTTCTTTGAGGTACGAAATTAATTTGGCAGTTTTTTGTGCAGATAAAGATGAATCCAAAGTGGATTTTGTTCATGTGCTGCCGATGGAGGTTATTGAGGAGATATTCTTGTACCTGAGCCCAAGAGATTTGGCTGCGTGTACTTCAGTCAGCACGGCCTGGCGTGACGCTGTTAACAGCAACAAGGTGATCAAGAACTATTGGTGCACTAACAATGTAGTCATTTATAAATACATAAATACATTGCCCATTTAAGAGAATGCTGCAGTTTCGTCATGAATATTTTTTATGTAAAATATCATAATCTTAAGACTGCTTTGGTGTAAGTTTAAAACTCCACAGTAATGAAACTATGAGTACAGTTTTAGTGTTTAGCTCCGTACTTTGCGTGTATGCCGCAAAAAGACTCCTATCCACTTACCGGCAAATTTTAATTTTTTTTTTTATTATTGAATCTCCCGCCCGTGCAACGTAAGACCAGTGATGCATTTTTGTTTACCACAAGAAACCTATCCGATGCTGACATTAATCGACAGATGACTGAAGTTTATGACCCTACTGCAATGATAGAGAGAATAGTGTGAAAATTGGCAATGGTGCTTAAAAATGGATGTAAAAATTTTATTCCGGAAGGAATCGCGTTTTTTTGTGGTTACCCAGACTTCTCACAGAAGACCACAAAGGAAGAAGGCTCTCACAGCCATTTTTACTTTATATTACCCATTTCTGCACTTTACCCTCACTCATTGCATTAGGCCCATAAACTTCTGTCATCTAGCAATGAATGTTGGCATCGGATTTGTTTCTTGTGATAAAATGAGGAACTGACCTTACATTGCTCACGGCAACAGATAATTCAATAATTCAAAAACTAAAAAACACACAATGAAGTGTGCACACCAGCTACAGAGGTGCATATGGTGTCATTCTGTTCACAAATGTTGCCAATAAATGGGGAGGAGCCTCGTTGCAGCATACCCACGAAGTACGGAGGTATAGGCTAAAAAATTCCTTCATTCATTTATATTTTTGTAGTTGTGATTCTTGTTGTAATATTTGATAAGTTAATAGATAGTAGAACAATTTCTTCAATGGATAAAGGTAGTAAAACCAGTTTAATGACCACTTTAAGGTTAGGTAGAAAAAACCTTTAATTAATTGACAAAATTGAGCCAAGTAATACTCTCTGTAATAGTTTGCTTTCTGTCAAGTTGATGAAAAACTACTTCTAAGCTGTTACCAAACACATTTTAGTTTTACTTGGAATATTTTCAGGTTTGGGGAAGACTGTGTGACAAGAATAATTGGAAGGACGAGTTCGAGCCACATTTCTCACATTTCTCCCTAGCACAAAACAAGTTCAGGCGATGGGTCCACTCATTGGACTCGTTCACACCAATGTGCCATAAGAGGATGCTGTACAACAAACATTCTTGTCTGCAGCGTCACTGGCGTCATGGCAAGTACAGGGTTGAAAAGATCTCTAATGGTCCAGTGACCTACCTGCAGCTGTTTGAGCCAGTCACTTGTGACGGCCGCTATCTGGTTGTCCAAGACAAAGGCTCCAAGTTCAGCACAGCTGTGACGCTGCAGGTGTGGTCGCTAAATGGCGAACCTTCCAAGGTCTGCGATCTGGATCTGCCGAGAAAAGTGGATGCGGTAGAGTCTGTCGCCTTTGACTTTGGAACAATAGTGGTCGCTCAAGCGTGGATTATAATTGTTTACCGGCTCAAGGATAAAACCTTTGAGAAGGTTTTTGAAAAAACAGATCTTGCTGATCTCGAGCCTAAATCGAGATTACCGAAAGACATCAAAAGAATGGCGCCTCACTTAAAAGTAACACAGGATTATATCATTTGCGTTCCAAACTTTTCGCACAGCACTGTGGATTTTATTCCGATCTTTTTCTGGGACAGAATAACTGGAGAGTTGAAACACACGTTGCCTTTTGACTCTATGTATTATCAAATAGCGAACGCCGTCTGGTTCCAGGACTCTTGTTACTTGAGTCTCTCAAATAAAAAGAAGAAATCCTACCAAGTAGTTCAGTTTGGGTTGAAGTCGGCTGCGTGGGAGGCATTCTCACACAGTGTGGATTTTGAAGTGGAGGAAGTGGTGGTTGGAGACAGTTATGTCCTTGCGGTGACCAAGACATCAAATGCGGCATTCAGGGAAGTGTTCTCTCGCCATGAGACCCCGAGCAAAGAGTTGTGGCTTTGGGACAGACAGACGGGGGATGTGTTTAAAACCCTTGAAGCCCAAGGAAGAGGTTTCCAGTTTGTCAATGACTACTTGATGTACTACGATTCATCAAAGGTGACGGTGCTCAACCCAAAAGCTCCAGACATGTGCAGCGAGTTTGAAGTGTCAGGAACAATATCCTCAATTCAAGCAGCGAAACATCCTAGTATCATTGCCATAATCAAAACCAGGTGAGATTTTCTCAGAATTTGTAAATATGTCAATTGAAATGTAGAATAAACCATTTTTTTATTTTCTTTTTCTGAAAATTTGTTAATATAATGTTGGAAGTGTTAAAAGATTTTAAAATCACATAACCAATCCATTTTTACTTTCTCCCTCTATATTGTATATGGAGAAAGTATTGTTTTTTTAGTTTGAGTGGATATATCCGTTTTGGCCCCCCCTGGAAAAAAGTGGTTTTCTGATAGTGATGTCTGTACTATAGTATCTTCAGGTGTTTTATTTTTATTTTTTGAAATTTAGATTTTTAAAGGCAATTTTGCCATAAAAAGCCATAAAATAACAGGAAAATCTAATGTTGTATTTATTTTGTATGTTCTAGCTCGTTAACTTCTGAACAAAATGATTTAACTCCCATTGCTGTAAAAATTATGGTACAAAAGTTGTTATAACTAATATTATTTTCGCAATAAAACCCACATAAAATAACAGAAAATCAGATTTTGTAAAAAGCTGTTTTGATTAAAATTAGTATGTTATGGCACTTAGCCTATAATTATAAAAAAAATTGTGCAAGATTGAATTTTTATTGCTGTAAAAATTACTGTTTGAAAAATATTGCAACTTTTGTGATTTTCCATGTGATATAATATGATGTTGGTTGTTGACAAGGTAAGGGGAGAAAGTGTGTCAAATTTCTGATACCGTTTACAGTGTTTAAAAAAGAAAGAGTAAACAATTGTAAATTGATATGAAAAGGATCATCAAACATAGATGTTGTGGTATAATGTATTACTCTCAATCTTACTTTTACTGCCATGGCCATGGATAACCTAAGTGGTATTTAGCCTCGCAAAAAAATCTTTCTTTACCAGGTCCTTCCAGCAATTCTTATGTCTTCATCTGGGATTTGCCATCACACTTCTTTAATTAGTTCTCCATCTTCCCTTCTTTCTCCCCATCTTAGTATTTTAATTGTTAATTGTTTATTTATATTCCTATTAATCAAGATTTGTCTATTAGTGTGTGTAATCACCATCACAGCAGAGACAGGCTATGGTAGTCAGTTGTGGTGTGATGACAGTTGAGTCAACACTCATCTTGTGTTTCAGTTGTTACATCGAGGTGTGGGACTGGGGTCTGGGTACTCGTCTCTACACCATCACAGCAGAGACAGGCTATGGTAGTCAGTTTTGGTATGACAGTTGAGTCAACACTCATCTTGTGTTTCAGTTGTTACATCGAGGTGTGGGACTGGGGTCTGGGTACTCGTCTCTACACCATCACAGCAGAGACAGGCTATGGTAGTCAGTTGTGGTGTGATGACAGTTGAGTCAACACTCATCTTGTGTTTCAGTTGTTACATCGAGGTGTGGGACTGGGGTCTGGGTACTCGTCTTCACACCATCACAGCAGAGACAGGCTATGGTAGTCAGTTTTGGTATGACAGTTGAGTCAACACTCATCTTGTGTTTCAGTTGTTACATCGAGGTGTGGGACTGGGGTCTGGGTACTCGTCTCTACACCATCACAACAGAGACAGGCTATGGTAGTCAGTTGTGGTGTGATGACAGTTGAGTCAACACTCATCTTGTGTTTCAGTTGTTACATCGAGGTGTGGGACTGGGGTCTGGGTACTCGTCTTCACACCATCACAGCAGAGACAGGCTATGGTAGTCAGTTGTGGTGTGATGACAGTTGAGTCAACACTCATCTTGTGTTTCAGTTGTTACATCGAGGTGTGGGACTGGGGTCTGGGTACTCGTCTCTACACCATCACAGCAGAGACAGGCTATGGTAGTCAGTTGTGGTGTGATGACAGTTGAGTCAACACTCATCTTGTGTTTCAGTTGTTACATCGAGGTGTGGGACTGGGGTCTGGGTCACCTCTGTACACCATCACAGCAGAGACAGGCTATGGTAGTCAGTTGTGGTGTGATGACAGTTGAGTCAACACTCATCTTGTGTTTCAGTTGTTACATCGAGGTGTGGGACTGGGGTCTGGGTACTCGCCTGTACACCATCACAGCAGAGACAGGCTATGGTAGTCAGTTGTGGTGTGATGACAGTTGAGTCAACACTCATCTTGTGTTTCAGTTGTTACATCGAGGTGTGGGACTGGGGTCTGGGTACTCGTCTCTACACCATCACAGCAGAGACAGGCTATGGTAGTCAGTTGTGGTGTGATGACAGTTGAGTCAACACTCATCTTGTGTTTCAGTTGTTACATCGAGGTGTGGGACTGGGGTCTGGGTACTCGCCTGTACACCATCACAGCAGAGACAGGCTATGGTAGTCAGTTGTGGTGTGACTCAAACACTCATCTTGTGTTTCAGTTGTTACATTGAGGTGTGGGACTGGGGTCTGGGTACTCGTCTCTACACCATCACAGCAGAGACAGGCTATGGTAGTCAGTTGTGGTGTGACTCAAACACTCATCTTGTGTTTCAGTTGTTACATCGAGGTGTGGGACTGGGGTCTGGGTACTCGCCTGTACACCATCACAGCAGAGACAGGCTATGGTAGTCAGTTGTGGTGTGATGACAGTTGAGTCAACACTCATCTTGTGTTTCAGTTGTTACATCGAGGTGTGGGACTGGGGTCTGGGTACTCGTCTTCACACCATCACAGCAGAGACAGGCTATGGTAGTCAGTTGTGGTGTGACGACAGTTGAGTCAACACTCATCTTGTGTTTCAGTTGTTACATCGAGGTGTGGGACTGGGGTCTGGGTACTCGTCTTCACACCATCACAGCAGAGACAGGCTATGGTAGTCAGTTGTGGTGTGACGACAGTTGAGTCAACACTCATCTTGTGTTTCAGTTGTTACATCGAGGTGTGGGACTGGGGTCTGGGTACTCGTCTCTACACCATCACAGCAGAGACAGGCTATGGTAGTCAGTTGTGGTGTGACGACAAGCGAATCATCACATACAACTCCACAGAGAGCGGTGCTTGCAGTGGCATCCTGATTGTGGGCTTCTGGTGACTTAATACAAATAAACAATGACTTCCAACTGTGATCATCTTATGAAACCATTCATTGTTGATATGGCTATTTAAGTTTTTCCAATCGAAAAACAATATTTCCAGATCAGCACTGTTTTACAAGGTTTACTTGTTATTTTACTGATTAGGTATATCAAAACTCGGTGTACTGTTATTGTGTGCACTTATATTACTTTTATTATTGGAAGAAATCATATTTTATATTTACTATTACTTCTATTTCTATACAAGTTCTCGTATAATTATACCATTTAATGGTTTATTTATATCACTTGATTGATAAATAATCAAGTTTAAACATCATGATCAATAAACAGATTTTATTTTATGGTACAATCTTTCTTCATTGATGTGTTCTTTCTATATTCATTGAATGAAGGTTAGAATGGTTTGATATTTGAGGATGGTAAAATAGCTGTTGCTCATTAAGTTATGTTAATGAAAAAAGAGAGAAAAACACAATAACGATGACCTAATTTTATCTAGAACACATAAATATTATTGTTCTTTATATTTAAACTAGTTTTATTTAGTTTTTTTTAAAAAATGACTTCTCATTCTGGAAATGAGATTTTTTTATTAACAATACTTAATACATGAAAAATATTGTTTGATGGTGTGATAAATTATCTATAAAAGTGGTTTTTCAAACCTATCAAAAAGTTATCTTAGTTTTGGTAAATTTGTCAAAAGATCATTTTGCAAAGATTAAAAAATGACAGTAGACCCTTTCATATCAGGAACCCATCAGGGACACCTTATATGTCAGGAACGGGCCATTTTCGGACATGAGGAGGAAAAAAACTCTGTAAAATAAATTGTAATGTACTATGTTACTAAATTCACAATATACTTTTTAAGTAAAATTTAACTGAGCCATAATAAATATTCAAAATATATTTGTGTTGTTTGTTTTGTGTAATAAGGGAATATACATTTTATATTATATAGAATTGATTTGGTTAGCGTTTTTTACTTAAATTGTAGACAAGGAGAAAACTCATGGGAAAATCCATGTTTTTATTTTTTATAAGTTTAGAATTTAGGTGTTATTAAAATGGTATTTTTGTTATTTTCTCTTATTTGACTGGGGTCTAATAGATGAACTAATTCAATTTCAAGCCTATTTAATTAGTGTGGATCATTATCATAATAATAATAAAAAAAATTAGAGTAGTTTTATTTGTTACACCTTGGTTTGTTATCAGGGACTTTGGTTTGTTCTGTTGTAAATATGTACACATAAGATCATAAAATTAATGTAGGTAATTGTCACTTTTTTGGTATAAACCTTTTGCTGGTCAGATACAGTTTCAATTGTTGGTTTTCAATGGTTTTTGTTTTAACTGTGTTATTATTTCTAGAACTAACTGTATTTAAATTTATGATAGTTTAGTTAATGTACTACGGTTTATGATCTTAAGTAGTTTTACATAAAGAACTCATTTATTTGTAATATTTGTTACTGATAAAACACATTGCATATTATAAGACTACAACCATCAAATCATACTTTTAAAGTTTATTTAAATGTAATAGAAAAATAAAAATAAAATTGAGTAAAAGTGAATCTTGACATTTGGAGATACCTTTGTAAAATTGTAGTCTACACTATAGAAACATAAAAATTTCAGGATTATTGGCAGCGAAACTTGTTACTTTTGAGATCTTATTCAATGATTTAGAATTTAAACTTTGGTAGTCCTACACATCAGTCAACACTTAAAAAGTAAATTAAATACTACAGAAAATTACCAAATTTATATTTTCTTTTTTAAATTTGTTTGGATTCAAAATAGTTACTGTCCATTAATATGAACAGTTGAAGCAACTATGATAGTTTTACTCTGATATCTTTGAATACATTTATGTAAAATATCTAAAAGTAAAAAATAAACAACAATCAGTAACAAATGAAGTTTTATTAAATCACATATTAGTTGAGCATAATATAAACTAGTTATGTAAATAAATAAGAAGTTAGGATAATTCAACATTAGTGTGCAATTATTATCTGATCTGCTGTATTGATGTAAATACTGTATGTACTAAATACTTACATAATAGATTTGTTCCACAAATATTTTTACACTGCCCACGTAAAAAGGTAATTGTGATTTCACATGTGATGAGTTATAAAAGGCCCATATTGTTGTACATAATATTAAGTTAGCTATAATAGAAACAGGTTGTTTTCATTTTAGTTACTTTTACAGGGGTGAGGCAATAGGTACAGTCATAAAATAATAGATTTACAAGATTTATTAAAACACATTTTGTTCAATTTAGGTTTTCAATAAATTAACACACTTACTTGGTAGCCTACTTGCTTTGTTGTATTTTAGGATTATTAGTAGGGGTGTGCAGGTACTCGAGTGGCAGAGTATTTCAGTAGGCTATTTGTCTCAATCTGAGTTTTTAAAGGAAACCCAAAGAGTCGAGCTTTTTAAATAATGTTGTGCTTGTTTAGTAGAATCAAAAAGCACAATATTTACTCTAGTATTTTGTAACTCTTAATTTCAACTGGCCTTTGAAAAGTTTTTAATCAAAGTTCTAAAACTGAAAAATGGCAGTTTAGATTGCTTAGTTTTGATACCGAGATGAAATGACCGGTTTTCTAGTTCTGGCAAATAAATTACAAAATTAAAAACAAACTGTTTATTTAATTACTTATGGTTAGGGTTAGGACAAAAGGAGAACAGGTTTTTGGTTTGCACCATATATTTACGGAAAGTAAATAAATATACGTCTTATAACACTTAAAACATATATTTACTCTTATACTGTTACTCAAAAGACGGTAAATATACAAAAGATTGTAAGTGGTGATCGATTTCGATTGGACACTCCAATCATCATCAGACCCAATAGGCAGATGTTCGCCTATTGGGTCTGATGATGATTGGAGTATCATCTTTTCACTTACAATCTTTTGTATATTTACCATCTTGTGAGTAACAGTATAAGAGTAAATATATGTTTTAAGTGTTATAAGACGTATCTTTATTTACTTTCCGTAAATTTAATAACACGTACAATGCTGATCAAGAAGTTATTCACCATATATTTGCCACTGCCATTGTAAAACAAGGCAACAACACATAAACAAAAAGTGAATAAAACAGAGTCTTATTCTGCTGTTTTACTTCCAAAACTAACAAAAAACTATATACAGCCAATAATTAGTTTAAACAGCTGGTATGAGAAAGTTCCTTTTATAGCAAAGGCAAATAAGTTAGTTATGATGAACAAAAATGGCATTTCCTTTTCCTTAAAAAATTCTACATTTGATTGAAGACCGTACAAAGTCGTCGTTTGGGTTGTATCATAGACTAACCAACACAAGTAGACTTCTCATCCCATTGTAAATTTTGAAGCACGTTTTTCGTGTCTAGTTCATGTACGTGACACAAAGGCGCTAGTGTCGATGAAACTTTGTTTCGATTATTTTAGGGTTAATTTCTTGATTTCTGCTTTACTGTTTGGTTATATAACTAGGGGACAAGTTATTGTTTATGATTAGATCGTATTATTTGGTTAAACGAGGTTTTAAATGGCTGTAATAACGGGAAACAAATTGTAAACAAAACACGACCTCTACATAAACCGTACATGAACTAACAATAAAATTGTCTTCAGCTGTTCCATAAGGATGAGAAATCTACTTGGGGGAGTATGTTTTATCTATGGTTGTATTTATCTACAAGTTAGGTTAGGGTATGAGATTTGAATCAAGCAAAGTCAAATTTCTTCATTTATCTTGTAGTGTCACACAAAAAGGTGAAATAGTAAAAATCTCATGGTAAATTACATTACAGCTCTCTATTTAAAAATTAATTGAAATAATCTGTTAATCAACTTACACATGATTAAGAATCACTGATTGTAAAATATAAACATAACACAATAATCAATGGGTGTGTAATGAATCAATACTACTGTTTAGTAACTGAATTTTAAACTGCTTTGTACATGCCATGAAGTACCTATTTAATCGTTTTGGGAAGCTTTATTTTTATATTTGAAGTAATCACCCAAGTCACGTCACTATAAAAATACTAGACTTTAAAAGCTTGAAGGATTTGTTTGATAGTTCAACTCATAAACCTACTACTCGCACACCCCTAATTATTAACGACCTGATTACTCACTCTAAGAAAACTATAATTATGTTAACATTTGTATGGCTAAAAGCTCATTAATCGCTAGTTGTTAAAAATATTCAAGATAGGAAAAATATAAGAGTCACAAATAGTTGCAGTATATCTTTACTGATTAACTATTTAATTTAGATCTCAACTGTTTTTTTTTTTTTTTTTTTTTTTGCAGTCTATGGTCTGTAAAACGTAATCTACTGTAAATTCCAAACACAAAGATTTACCAACTTACTCTTGTCCAATCAAAAACTGAATCAATAAAATATTTCAATGCTATAGACTCATATTTAACCAAACTAGTTTTGACAGAATCGTCTGATGTTATCTTTACTTTTGTAAGTCTCTTAAAAACTGAAATAATTTTTTTGGCTGCAAATACAAACAGCATTTTTTACGTAACACAAATAACTGTGAAAACATTTTTACCAGGCTTCAATGTCAACTACGGTTGCATTACTTGCCAAAATACATAAACAAGTAAAAAAAATTACCTGATAGTCACATAAATGTTTTTTCATGTGGCATTTTAGTAAAACGGTGAAAATGGTAGCTGGACGGTTTATGTATTAAAAAATATAAGAATGTTACAAAGTATCATTGATTAAGTAAGATAAAGTTGATAAAAAATATATGTACATTTACTAATACAATCTGTTCAATTTACTTGGTAGGCCTTAATTATTATAGTTATGTCACATTAATTTCAATCCGAGTTACAATGTCTTTTTGGTCAAATAAATTGTAATAAAACTATTGCAAAAATTACTCCCTGGATATTAAATTGGATGGCATAATACTCTGTACTTCATCCAGTTTGTTACCCAAAACGGCACAGGGAAGTTTTCTCAGGTGCCATTTGACGTCACTTTGAGGGAACACCATTACCGCAACGATACGGTTTTGAGCCATCGGCCTCGGTGGTGTTACGGATAGCGTGTCGGGCTGATAATCTGAATGTGCCGGGTTCGAATCCCGCTGGTTGCACTAACTTTTTGTCAACAATTTTTTTTTCATATCAGCAAGTTTGGTTGGTTTGGTTAGGTTATGACAGTTTAATTTTATAATTAAAAAATAATAAAATTGAATTTTAGGCATTTATAATTTTATTTTATGAACAAAACTATTTTTTAGATTAGTAAACCTTCATTCGATTTTTTCATTATCAGCACGTTTGGTTAGGTTATGACAGTTTATTTTAATAATACCGGTAGTAAATTATAAAATTGTCTCTTTCTTCAGACGCAGCAGTTAGTGACGTCAAACGGCACCTAAGAAATCTTCCGTGTGCCCCACCGGTTTATTACCATAAGTTAAATACTTATTTCTAAGATTTAATTGTGACTTAGGTATAGAATTTGTACTAATCTAACAAGCTTAAGGAAATTATATTTCAGTGTTAGAGAGAAACACTTATATCTTGTTAATTTAAATTCTTTGAAACTACTGAATTGTGTTCAAATGGTAAAATAAAACAATTAATTATTTCTTGTGGTATTTTTATTCTAACCAGTTCCTTGATTACTGAACTTAATTAGTAGAATTAACTCAGGTCAACCAAAAAGCAACTACTCACAACCTAAAGAACTTTCAAACTAGAAACATAATGACAACCTGCTCCGGTTTAGAGAAGCTGAAATTTGCAATGCTTGCACTTCAAATATAACATCGCCTAGCCCTCTTAGAATGTAGTTTCGAAATTCGGTGTACATTTTCCTCATGAGTCCTTGATTCTAACTATATAGCTCAAATTGCCAATTTCTCGTTAGATGCATAGTTTTATTAGCAAAAAAAGTCAAAAGTTTTAAGGAATTTTAAAATTTTAACATGAAAAACTTGGTCTGTAAACATTTCTCATGTACAGCTAAATGCCACTTCTCACACTAGTTACACAAACAATTAACTATATTATCAAATCCTTTTTTATTTAAGACCAGTCGTTTTCTTAATACATATTTAGTTTTGATGGCATTAACTCACATAAGTTTTCAAACTATCCACCATTGGCATTTGAACAAAGTAGTGTTCTCGTCCAAATTACTGAACACTTTTTCTAAGATTTGGGGTGTATCAACATTAAAATGTCACGCTAACATGGTGTAAATTTCTTAATGGGCCAGAAATGTAATAGTTAATGTTAATGATTTCTAATTTAGCTTTTGTGCAATGAAGCACTGGTGGTTTTACAGTACCTAGTGGTAAAGCGCTAACCATCATTCTCTAATCTTTCACTTCAGGAACGGATGTAGTGTACACTAGAACACACTGTGATAGATCGCTACCCGCTACTTGTATGACTCATTACCCGGCTGCCGAAATCTACTCATGTCACGCACCAAAGTTGGCTTCAGCAGTCAGCCCCAGTGCTCCATATATTGGTCTTATGCGATCGCTGACTTAGCCAGTCTAAGGTAATTTTAGAGTTGTTTAGTTTTTTAAACTCCGAGGTTTGATAAAAATATCCTTTTAACTTAAGTTTTAACTCTAGTGACAGAATGAAAACAATGAATAAACAATGCTCTCAAGGTAATAAAACTGTATATTTACCTATGAAACAATGAAACTTAGTGGACAAAACAACTACCCTTAGAGAGGAGGTGGATTCATAATCATTATACACTGATATTTTAACCTCGTCTATGGCTTATTAAGATGTAGAACCCCTCTAAACTCAAATTAGAAGATATCAGAATGGATTAAATACTCTTTTTTTATAAAGACAGGCCCATAAGATCACAAAATAAATGTAGTCTTGCCATACACTATTTTGGGGTGGCCAAATCAATTGCCAAAGCATCCTTATATATAATACGTGAAGGCGATTTCTACAAAACACTACTCCTCTCTTAATAATGGACGGATTTTTACAAACAATGTGTCAAAATTAAGTATTTTTTGTGTGGACCACGCCCCCTTTCACCAATTACTGTAATAAAAGTTCTCCACAGGTCATCAAAATCCCAATGTATTTCTTATGAAGAAAAAATATTTTGTCTATTTAACAGACGAATAATTTGTATTAATTACAGCTGTTCATAGTAAACACATACACACAAAAGCATTCGTTTTAAGAATGAGTTCGTTTTTAGTTTCGATAAATGTAGTGGAGTGATTGATTACATTATTTTTGTATTGACTCTTTTAAGTAATCTGAAATTATGAGTGTTATTCGTTTTGAAATAACGCCTGGAATACTTTGCAATTGCTCGAATTCGAGCAAAAGGTGCACTAGTAATATTAAATTATAGTAGACGTATAATATTTATTTATATCACAGTTTCATTCAACTTAAACTGGTTTATAGGAATACCTTTTTCTAAAAACACTGGTAACTAAAAAAAGCATATAAGTTTATTAAAAAATACTTTATTTAAAATAATATTTAAAATGTGTCACAACAATTATTAAACCAAAATATTAAAATATTCAATGAGACAACATTTTAAAAAGACAACAGAACACTGTTATATAAAAAAAATGTTTATTTACAATTTCAAAATCTTATTCTTATACATTAATAATGCTTTAATTGTGGTATTTTAAAACAAGCAAACGCTGATTTCATTCTATACTGTGCAAATAAATAGGCCTACAAAAATATATGTATTTTATATATATGAATATTATGTATTGTTCAGACATTATGTCAATGAATATGTATTATGTAAATAATAATATGTACGTGTCAATATTTTACGACTAAGGAAATGTTCCACTATTAATATTTTTAATAGTGGAAATTTATAATATTAGGAAAATGTATAATAACTTTTCATTGGAAACATGAAATATCTAGCATACAAATACAAATTTATAGTTACTTACATTCAATCAGATCTTAAACAAAACTAAAAACTATTATATAGCCTAAATAACAAACTGGACGGCACACAAATTTTACAAAATATATGCTATAATAAATATATTATATTTCTATTAAAATGTATTAAGGTATTCATAAATATACACATTGATATAATTATACTACACTTAGAAAGAAGTATTGTGTAGTACTATGTGGACGGACAACTTTCTGTCTAAAAGTGTTTTTTATAAAGAAGGCAGTGCAAAAATAAGGCAAATTTAAGTAGCAACAATACCAAAAGAGTAACAATATTCAAATACTCAAGTTAGGCATACAGTAACACTAAATTACTCTAAACTAGCAGTTGTTCAACAAAGTTGGTACGATAGAGGAGATATAATTAATCGTAAAAATAGCTGTTAATAAATATTCCTAAAAATCTTTAATGCAAAATTATGTCAACTTTGCTATTAAAAGGTGAAAAGCTAAATGAACAGAATTTCTCAGAACCATTTCACTACACAAAAGTATTAGAAAATTGGGAAAACCCACAACCCAATACGAATGACTTGTTCAATATCTACATATGTTTTTCAACAGAAAATAGTAAGCAGAAAACTGGCTAGTGTTATTGACTATTGGATACAAAAGAAGACATCCCATCTATCTGGACCAGCTGTCGCCAATTTTATAATTTAAAAAAACATATTTGTGAGAGCCAGTCACAGAATGCACTAGTGTCTAAAATTCCATTTTCTACCTTAATATTTGTTGCTGACATAGTTGATTGATCATAACAGTTGCTATAGCTCATAATAAATCATTCTATCATCATTCTAGCTCATCATTCTATCAGTTTGACTTGGTAATAAACTAATTGACAGAAATTAGTAACTTAGATCAGCGCAACTACGGCGATTTTGATTTTAAAACTGGCTACAACTTTAACATGGGGATGGAATGTCCAGCTAGTGTCTAGTCTAACCACACCATCTCATTGCAAAACAAGAAGTAAACTTGCTTTTATTGTACAATAGAACCTGGATTAACCGTCAATCTGTGTTATTTGTAACCTTATTTATTAATGGGTTTTTGCTACTTTTACTGTACGTGCCTGCGGTATTTTGAATATACCACAGAGTACCGGTGTATATAAAACCATCTATATATTGTAAAATAATACGCTACAATGTGAAGGCCCCAAGGACAGCAGGCTTACCTTGATGGGGAAGATTTCAATGTGGCACAAGAAACAAACCACTTCAATCGATATACAAAACATCAGAATTCTCATTGACAGCGTTTTCAACTGGGGAAGGTGAGAGTTGAAGAGAATGTTTTGGTTTTAGTGTATAATTTTATGTTTCTTGTGCCAGATTGGACTCTATCCCACTCATGTAACTCTGATATCCTCACAAAAAATACTATGTGAACACTGAGTTATTTTTCCAAAATTATTGTAATTTTTAAATTTAAAGTGCAGTATTGTTATCTGTATATTCTGATAACTGTTCTAGTTCAAGTCCCACCGTTGACGGTTGTGGAGGTTATACTGTACAATCCAATTGGTTTGTAAATAATTGCAGCTTGAAGTTAACCTGTGTTAGATTGCATTAGGCCTACCACTTATTGACAGAAATATAATACTTCATAATTCTAAACTGAGTTTACAACATTATCTGCTATTCCTAAGCATGGCATATGCTTTTTTATAGGGTGTGATTGCTTCATCAAGTTACTTACAGATATCCAGCTAAGACTTCATAGTTCTTTCCACCTTTATCAATGCTGTTTATATAGTGTGAGATTGCTTTTAAGTTATTTTCACAGATTTTAACGTTAACTCCACAGTTCTAAGCTGACATTCGTGTGCATTTTCTGATTAAGGCATCTGTTTAAATGGTGGTGTGTGAACTCTTGGTGGCATGCATGGGGTATCCGCTGCTGCCTCCGCCTAGATGTCTCTCCTCCAGTTTCTGTCGCTTGATATGGTGACGTCTTCCCTCCACCAGAAACATCCAGCTGCTGACGTACGAACAGATCACACCTATCACTGCCATTGCGTAGGAGTAGCCGAGATGATTGTGTTCCCAGTTAGGCATCCACACTCTCCCATCTCCATTGTATCCAAAAATGATCAACGCGATCGTCCCTGAAACGGCTGAAACAAACGAAGAATACACATTGGATTTAGTCTCTATGCAGTAAATAGTAATGTTTATAAGGGATAGAATACACTGTGACCTAAAACATCTATTGTGTCTAGAGCACCCCTCTAGACCCAAACGCTTGACAAAATCCAGTATCTGGCGAGGTTTAAATAGGGGGGATATCACTAATCGCTACCTGGTACAGCCCTAGAGGTCTTGGGCCCTCTAGGAGCCGGCTGCATCGCAGTACTCCATATGCTTTGGAAATTATTCCCCTAATAGTTAAAATTGACATTCACCCCATTACACAACACTCATTTTCTTGAGGTTTTCCTTTATCTGCAACGTCCAGTCAGAAATCCTGCTAGCACAAACAGTTATTGTCTGGTCTTACCACTGTCTCAGATCTCCTGGTTCTGGTCCCACAAAAGGAGTTCTCTCACAAGCTTTTCTGGCTACTCATTACCCTCTACAATAATAAGAATCAACCAAAGGTTTAAGTTACCGATCAAGTCATGCATATCAAACTGGTTCATCCAAGGCAGAGTCTCTCATTTCCCATAGACATTGTGTCTAAATAAGCGTAACTTAACTTGGTTGACCAGTAATATATATTATGTGTAGGTTTTTTGAGTGATCCTTAACACTTGGACCTACAACTTCTGTCAAACACAGTTCAACAATATCAAGTTGCATCAATAGTCAAATTGCAAAAGAGTTCTATTAAAAACTGCTAGTAGGCCCTCAGTATTGCCAAATGTAGGAAAAAACCAGAGGCGAAAAACACGGATACACCATAAAAAAATACCACAAAAAAGGTGTCAAGCACAATTTTGAGGTAAGGTTCCTTCCACAATGCTACAGTAATTAACAGTAATTACTACAGTAACTACAGTAATTAACGCTATTCTATTCAATTACATTAAATCCAAGACAAAACCCCACACTAAACTAAATTTGGAACAGCCCCCACCACTATTGAAATTGTCAGATCTGAAAACAAATTATACCAGTTTAAAGTATAAAACTGGCAGCAAGCGAAACAATGTTCCTCGTACGAAGCTGAGCTCACTCTGGATCAATTCTTTGGAGTTAGGAATGGTACATAGTTTAACGTAGTCCGCCACGCTCACCAGTCCCACACTTCGTTAAATAATTTAGGCCGCACTCAACGTGTTATTGAGCCTAACACTACTAATATAAATAAAGTTAGTAATCTAAGAGGAAGCAGTAAGTGACAAGAGCTTCAAGAAGAAAGAAAACTCACCTCCAACTAGTTCCGCAGTGCCAATCACGATGAGCAACAAGACGTATCTCTCTTGATCTCTACTGCAGGCCAAGTACAGAGCCACCCCTAACACAACGGCCAGAAGGGCTATGACTGTCACTGTGAAGAAGAACTGGGTCGCTAAAAAGAAACCTGAAACACCAGAGCAGTGTGTAATATTTTGCTTGCTTTATCAACAAGTGAAAACTTGCCCCCTAATTGAAAACTGGGTACTCTAAATTACAGTTGGTTATAGCCTTTTAACCATAAGGCCAAAATAATATAATTCAACTTAATTGTTATATAGAATACCTGTAAAAGTTTAACGCTTAAAAAAAATGTTAAACAATAAAAAACTTGGCACTAACAAGGAATCGTAGGCCCTAATGTAATGTAACTTGGTTGTGTTAAATTGGGCAACTTAAAGGGGTTCAGTAAACAAAGTACAACACTTTTTTATAGTTAAAAGTAGATTCTAAGTCAATTTTTCTAAAAAAAATCAAACCTGGGAGCAGGATATCATGGATTATGTAGTATTCCTCTTCAAAGACCCACCAGCAGCCTGTGAATTTTGTTTCATACCAATGTCTTGTGTCCTCGAAATCATGGAAACAGACCACCCACAATCCTGTAGTCAAAAAACAGGGTAGAAAGTAAAAAATTAGCATAAAACATAGGACTAGGTAAAAAAACAATATTAAGTTTAGGCATAGGCTAAATCAATAAAGTTGGTCTAACTTATACCTAATCATTATTGTGTTGTGTTTGTCGGGCAGATCTGGATAGTAGCTGAGAGGTTACTTGATTCTTAATACCTACTTCAACCTTCAACCAACTCAACTATTTGGTTGGGGAAACTTAGGTCTTCATTTTTTATTTGAGGACCACACATTCTGAGTTGGTAGTAGCTAAATGATAAGCCAATGTAACTAAGATTTTTTTATGTTAGTCATTGCGACGAACCAAGGTTTAACTTAACTTAAATTTTTAATAACTTGAATCATAATAAATTAATTAACAACATTTTGGGGTGAGTACATGAATTAATTCACGGTTTCAGTTGCCTCATTCAATACCCTAGAAGCATCGGTCGAGCCCAATACATTTTAAGTTAATATTACACATAGACCGGGAGTCAAATGTGGTTAAGGGGATATGGCAGTGAAATAATGAATTTTTTTTCAAAAAAGTTATTTTTTAAATTTGTCTATTATTTATTATTTATAATGCTATGATAAAACTAAGAAAAATTGGTCAAAAATAAGTCTATTTCAAGAAAACTATGATAATTTTTACTAGGTATTGTCTTTGCTGTAGACCGGGCGTCGCAAATATGCGACATTACAAAAGGTTGTAAAAAATACAAAAAAACAAGAATTATTTACAAACACAATTGTAGCACATTACAATGTAAATGATCACTGTTTTACAGGTTTTCGCCCATGGTCTGTGTGTAGGCCTACTGTTAACCAAGTGACAGCCGGTCTAAGTTATGTGTAAGATTCAAATGTAGGCTAAACCTCGGTCTGTGGCAATGACCGTGGTGTCGCATATATGCGACGCTCAGCGAACGTGTTAAAGGAACATTCTTCCTTATAGCAGTGGTACCACTCGTTTCTTTGTAGACGAAAAATATCCCTTGTAGACAAATAACTTTTTGAAAATAAACATTTTTGGCAGTTTTGTTACGCGTAGGGCCTAAGTTGATGGTGGAACTGACTTGCAGCTGAAATTTCCATTCACTTTAGTGCCTAATTACAGTGGTCTAAGTTAATTGTGAGATAAACAGAAGTTCATCTACTTAACAAGTGCAAGTTTAAAATCTTATCTTTCCAAAGGTTTAAAAATCATTCCATTTTACAATCGATAACTTAGACCTCCTAAGCTTAACAATTTATTTGGATTTAAAACCCAAACCTTGCAAAACGCGACTATTAAATAACTTAGTCACGCTGACAGTTGGAGTGTTAAAAACATTGAAACACTGCGACGTCAGTATATTTTAATGTGACCAGCCATTGCATATGTGCGTCACTGATCCACATGAATGAAAAATTTAGTACTAACTTATATTTAGTGGTAGGCCTCGCGAACGTTTTAAGATAGTAGAATCATATTAGAAAATCCAAATAATAAATGAAAGCGTATAAGTTAATTAAACTTAAAACTGGAAAGCCTCAGTCCATTAAAAACAGCACATGCTCTCTTCAAGGCAGCCTTGAACTTTTTTATCAACCCTCCGAGTGTTATGTGTCGAAAAATCGACACATAACACACTTTGTGTAGTGTTTTGTGTAGATTTTTCGATTCACAAACACTGTTTACGGCGAAGGCTCTACGACTAACAAAATCGGATTGAACTGGATCGAGTTAGGTATCGTTTAATTTGGCAGATTCTAAGCTTTCTCCCGAGGTCTGTCTCTAAGCGCTTTTTTTTCTCGAGCCGATTATAATTGTAGGCTAGCAGACAGCTGACGTGCGTATTTGTAAACAGCTTGGTTAACCTCGCACCAAGGACTAATGTGTTTTATTACGTTTATCATAGTTTTAGTGTTAAAAATCAAAAGTAGTGATATACGTGGTGCATTATTTATAAGAAGATTTTTAAAGTGATTTTGAAGGGCTGGTTGATGATCCTGAAGAAGTAGGTAGCTTGTGTAGGTAGTGATATTGATGTAAATTATCATCCAGATTCCTAGCTATGGTTAGGCTATGCATTCAAACGCTATGTACTGAAATCTGTTTTTGCCCATAGGCCTAACTTATTTATTTGCAAATCTAACTTATTTCCTTACGGTATTATATATTTGTAATCCTCATAAAATTTAGGACAAAGTGGCTATTTTCAAATATCTATAGGCCTATAATTTATACCATTTCATTGAGCGCGAACTTATTTTTTTTAGAAAATTTTCCAAAATATTTTTTTTACCTAAAAATTTTTTTTGAAACAAATGTTCCTTATGTTTTATGTATAATATTGAAGCCCATGATTTTCCAAACAAAATGGTATATAGAACAGTATAATTAACATTGTTTTTAAGCTTCTCAGATCCGTTTTAATAAAACCTTGCAAATGCGCAAAAAATAGGCAAACATTAAGACCAAAACTAGGGACACTCGGAGGGTTAAAACATTTGCAAGTTTGTCTTGAAGGTATCTAGTGAATTGTGGCTAACTAATCAGCCAACCTTTGAGTCAAAAACTACTAAAATTCCTTTCCAAATCTAATAGTAGGCCTAACTTAAATGGATGGCTTTATTTACTTTGTACATAAACATAGCCTAGACACGCCCTCTTACCGATTTGTTCCATTTTAGGATGAGGTAAATAGCCATCACTGACGACCCAACTCGGTGTTGCAAAAGCTAATAAAACAAAAAAGAACGCAGCACCAGCTAAACCTGCAGCAATCTTTCCACTCCTTGATTTAGCCATCTATTCAAATAATAGATAAAAACTTTCACAATTGAACGACAAACAAGTCACCAAACACTAAACAACAAATCTGACATGACATCCAACATCCATCCATTTAATTTGTCATAACCTGCGCGTTCCTTCTAGTTCAGTTTCTAGCAGGCTTCTCTTAATGCCATGTAGTACTTTAATCTCTACATGTAGCTAGTCATTGATTATCATTAATCATTCATAAATTTGCTGAATCGAGGCATATTTATTCACCTATAATCATTCCGTTTTCCTTATATCGTGGTTAAACGATATATTTGGCTTATTCCAATCATTTAAACTCTTACTCTCAAAAACGATGTTACCCATCTATACCAACTTGTGTTCAAAATGTTATAACAGTACAATTTTCCAAATTTAATACAACACACAAAATGAATATTCCTCGATCGATCTGTGTTGTTTATTCCGAATAACGTTGACAAAAATATTGTAAAAAGGTTATATAATACCTAACTGCCTCGTTATTCCTCTGCTCCTATACTGGACTTGGACTACGCGCGTTTCAATGCATTAGCGTCATCACCAGGTCACAAAACTTGAAGAAACCATAGATATAACATAGGACTATGTTTTATCTATGAAGAAACCCAACCATTCTTGAATTAGTCGCATCAAAGTTCACAAAACGTTAAAAACAGTTAAAAAAGGGGATAAAAACTGTAGGTCTACAAACACTGGACTGTGGGTGCCTAGTCTCGACTGGTTCAGGAACTGAACTTTGTCCCCCGGCAAACCTTTTTCACAGCCCTTGGCTAGTAATAAGTGATTTAAATAAAATATTTGTCTGCAGAGTACTTGTTAAAAGCAATTAATTTTATCCCTTGTTCTGTAAATAAATTTTGCTCTAGTACTTTGTTTAAAAGATGTTATTAACATATGTTATATTCATTATTAATTTTTGTAAACAGTTTTCAGTACACATTCTTTTTTTCACATCACAGTATTTTTAATTTAATTTACATTTTCTATCAATAATCATTTCAAGAACATCAGTTTACAACAAAACAAACAGTACTTTTGTCATGTACTGGGGTGTTTGTCCTGGGTTTTTTTTTATTTATTTGTTTAGATGACAATACTCAATTACAGGTAAAAAGCCCAATTACAATGCAGCATTTAAGCTTTAAGTCCATGCTGTCCTCTTGGTAGGCACACACAACATCATAATTTACATGATATTAACTAACACAAGATAACAACTAATAAATAATAATAAATAACATGTCATAAAAAAACTATAAATAGACATAATAATAAATAAAGTAACGGGAACAAAATCAGAGAAAGGGTTAGAAAAATAAATAGTTTTCTATGCAGAAGCAACCCGTGAGACGTATGCCAACACCGTAGATTTATAATAACACATAAATATTTATTTATAATAACAACATACATGTTTTTGTTACTGAGCGGAGTGAGCTAAGCCCTTATACTTCGACTTTTATGAATTTTCGTAATACGAAAACTCCTCCTAGACGGCTGAAGCAATCGTTTTCAAATTTTGCATGGTGGTAAAGACCATATTGGTAAGTCCCAACATCTATATGACGTTAACAAAATCTCCATTGTAGTTCTGCCATTTGTAGTTTCGATTTGTAGTGAGCTGACGCTCGGCAGTCGGCAGTCGGCAGCGTACTACAGCGCGGCGCCTGTGGGTTTCATTTCATGACTCATGTTCTGAACCAGATTGATACCAACTCTGCAATTAAAGAACTTGCCAAGATCAAAGCTAGGAAAATTAATTTTTAATTGCTAAGAGCTTTTGAACTGTTTAAATTGATAATTTTGTATTCTTTTTGTCAAGGTAATAAATTTGGTTTTTCATGTTTTCTTCATGTTTAATGTGTTCAATTAAAAATTCCTCTCTTATCATCTATCTACACCTGTTTTTCATTGTAATAGGCTTTAACTTATATCGTATCCAAGTTATCCTGTAATAGTATATTACGCTACTAGTCCTGAAAATAAGTGTTTACCGGACGAGTGTGGTCGTTCCCGTGCGAGACGGTCGAGTACGGGATTACCATACGAGTCCGGTTAACACATTTTGGATAAGTTACGTACGATAGTTTACGCCATACTACTAAATCTGCACAAACCCTTACATATTAACACCAACTAAAGGACTAAAAATCACTAGTAATAACCTTTAAGAGAGGTTATGTTTTTGTTTATAACCACTCATTGTCACCAAAATACAGTGTAATCAGCTGATTGGTGTCCGGTAAAACTCATTACAGTACAGTAGTACGCAATGAAACCCCATTTGATTAAGCTAGCGGCAAACAGCTGTTTTCTGGACTAAATCCTTGTGTGGGAAGTACGTCAAAATAGTGTATTGTGGCTCACATTTAGAAATAAATTGTTAACTTAGGTCGTGATGCTCGTCAAGCATGACGTCACGATAGAAGACGGCAATGACGTAGGTATTTATTTATTTATTTTCCAAGGAAAGATTAAAACAAGCAGCTGATCACAAACGGCAAACATTACGTCATTGCCGTCTTCTATCGTGACGTCATGCTTGACGAGCATTACGGCCTGTTTTTTTAGTGTGGCCTTGGTTTTGCTAAAGTTTATACGATGAGTAAAAGTGTAAAAATGTTAAATTCCTGGGAATAATAAACAGTCTTTTATTGCAAGTATACTTCTAACCTAAACTAATAAAAAAGTTCTTCCCAAAATCTTTGGGAAAAATTCACAAATAGAGTTAAGTAATGTTCATGGGTTGTGGGTGGGGTGGTGGGGGAATTCTAAGTGGCGCTGATTCGGGTGTTCGCTTAGCTCTGAAAAATTCCTAGAACCGGCCCTGAGGACAGAAACTTGATTCCAAATCATCAGTTTGGGTTTCGATGGGAGCATTCCACAGTTGAACAAGTACATAGATTGGTTAATACAATTAAAGAAGACCTTAAGAAAAAGAACTATTGTACAGCTGTCTTTATCGATGTAAGTCAAGCCTTTGACAAAGTTTGGCACACAGGCCTACTTTATAAACTCAAACTGAATCTTCCTCATATATTTTATATGAAAATTTAATCATACCTAACCGACAGATATTTCAAAGTTAAATTTGGAGATAACATTACAAAATTGTACCCAATTCAAGCTGGCATTCCCCAAGGAAGTGTTCTCGGACCTGTACTTTAAACGCTGTTTTCAGCCGATCTACCTGAAAATGTGAATACTTCTGTGGCCACTTTTGCTGACGATACAGCTATTTTAGCGTCCCATCCTGATCCAGTGGTAGCTTCACTTAATCTTCAAAATTCCCTAGATGACTTAGAAGAATGGTTGCAAACATGGAAAATAAAAGTGAATGAGAGCAAATCTACTCATGTGACCTTCACTACCAGATTAGGTACTTGTCCTCCTGTAACCTTAAATAATGTCCAAATTCCGCAATCCCACGAAGTGAAATATCTCGGCATGACGATTGACAAAAGATTAACATGGAAAAACCATATCTGGAATAAAAGAATGTACCTAAATTTAAAATTTAAAAATCTTTCCTGGCTCCTAAATAGTAAATCAAAATTGACCATTGCAAATAAATTATTACTATACAAAGTAATCCTGAAGCCAATTTGGACTTATGGAATCCAACTGTGGGGAACGTCCAGTATGTCAAACATAAACATCATCCAACGATTTCAGTCAAAAGTTCTAAGGTTCATCCTGCAAGCCCCGTGGTACGTTAATAACAATATCCTTCACAAGGACAGTAGAATTCCGACGGTTGAAGAGGAAATAACAAAATTTAGTACAAAATATCTAAAGAAGCTTGAAAATCACCCCAATCACCTGGCTCTAAACCTTTTGGACAACAGTACCAGTATACACAGGCTGAAAAGGATTCATGTCTTGGACCTAAGCTCACGTTTTGTTTGAACAATTTAATTTTCCCCTGTTTATTTACTTATTTATTTTTTCATTGAAATATTTTTAAGTCAGATCTGCCAATAGTGGGGTCGTATAGCTGCATATAGTGGCAGAATATTTCAGTTCTGGCAGAGAGGCTGCAATTTTAGGTGGTTATAGTATACAAGTTTCTGAACCTAAAACCGCCCAGACCCCAATTTTTAAGGACCTCGGTCGTCCGTAATGACGTCATCAAAATGGCGGCCGTAAGAGGATGCTGGGTCCCCATTAATTGGCTATAACGACCGAATGTCTGAACCGATTTTCATGAAATTTGGCACACAAGTGCTTGAATACATTATATCGGCCTGGGTTGAAAATGGTCAAGTTTCATCAAGTCATTTCAAAATGGCAGCCATTCAAAACTAAAAAAATTATGAGGAAAATAATTGTGAATTGTTTTATACAGGGTGAGTTTTAAATGAGTTCCCCCCCCCTACTTTTTTATACATTTCTTAAGATATCAACTTTGAACCATCTCAGATCATTGTAGAGTAGCAAGTACTTCAATAAGTAGAGTACAAGCATACATAAAACATACTCCCTTAACCCTAAAATAATAGAAACAAAGTTTCGTCGACACTAGCGCCCATGTGTCACGTACATGTACTAGACACGAAAAACGTGCTTCAAAATTTACAATGGGATGAGAAGTCTACTTGTGTTGGTTAGTCTATGGTACAAGTTAGGTTTTATACTCAATGCTTACAGTCACTTTCACAGTTTTTTTTGGTAGTCAGTTGGTCGGTGGGCCACACGGAAGATTTCTCAGGTGCCGTTTGACGTCACTAACTGCTGACGTCACTAATTGCTGCGTCTGAAGAAACAATTTTATAATTTTCTATTATTAAATTAAACTGTCATAACCTAACCAAACTAACCAAACGTACTGATAATGGAAAAATCGAATAAAGGTTTACTAATCTAAAAAATATCTTTGTTAATAAAATAAAATTATAATTGCCTAAAATTCAATTTTATTATTTTTTAATTATAAAATTAAACTGTCATAACCTAACCAAACCAACCAAACTTGCTGATATGAAAAAAATGTTGATAAGAAGTTAGTACCGCCGGCGGGATTCGAACCCGGAACATTCGGATTATCAGCCCGCAACGCTATCCAATGCACCACCGAGGCCGGTGGCTACATCCGTATCGTTGCGGTATTGGTGTTCCCTCAAAGTGACGTCAAACGGCACCTGAGAAATCTTCCGTGTGCCGTTTCAGTCAGCGGAGTGCGTGCGAAAAAAAAAAAAAAAAAAAAAAAAAAAAAAAAAATAGAAACAGAAACAAAACAAACACCAAAACTCATAGGTTAGTTCAGTTCATGTTGTGGTTGTGCTTAGATCATGAATACTAGAATTTTTCTAGTATTCGTGGTTGAGATTAATGTGTACGCGTTTCAGACTCGTGTGTAATAGGTGTAAAAATGTTTGAATGTAACTTTTGTAACAAATCTTTCTCAAGACGGGAGACTCTGACCCGTCACTTACGTGAAGTGCACGGGTATTATCCCGATGTGAGTACAAACCCGAAAAGAGGACCTAGGTTTACCTGCGCTGTTTGTAAAAATGAGTTTACAGATATAGAAAGTCACTTTTCAGAGCAGCATAATATTTCTCTTAAGAAATCAGTTCTTAGTTTTTCTAGTACGTCAGATTTCTACACTTGGAAAAACAACACTGAGGTAAAAGAAAATGCTTTGTTTACAAAAAGATCTGGCAAAAAGATTCTGTCTGGCAACAAGATCAAAATTTATTACCAGTGTAATAGATCGGGAAACTTTGAACCTAAGCCTATATCCGGTAAAAGAAAAAGGGAATCAAAAATAAAGGGCTCCTGTAAAATAAATGGTTTCTGTCCTTCCCGTATAAAAGCAACTTTTTTTGGAAATGGAAATGTTCAAGTAGAGTACTGCGAGACTCATGTAGGGCACACTTGTGACCTAGCCCATCAACCATTGACCCTTAATGATCGTAAAGATATCGCCAGGAAAATATTAAATAAAATTCCTTATGACACGATACTTGAAGAGGTTCGGTCATCTTTTGATCCCGACTCGCCAAAAAGAATACATTTACTGACAAAACAAGATCTGTATAATATTGTTAAAGAATTCCGTCTTAATGAGACTGTGCGTCATTCGAGCGATGCCATCAATGTTGAAGCATGGGTACAAGGCAAAAAGGCTAAAAATGACGATGCCATCAGTGTTGAAGCATGGGTACAAGGCCAAAAGACAAAAAATGATGATGCCATCAATGTTGAAGCATGGGTACAAGGCCAAGAGGCAGAAAGTGACGATGCCATCAATGTTGAAGCATGGGTACAAGGCCAAGAGGCAGAAAATGACGATGCCATCATTGTTGAAGCATCGGTGCAAGGCCAAAAGGCTAAAAATGACGATGCCATCAATGTTGAAGCATGGGTACAAGGCCAAAAGGCAAAAAATGACTGTGTTTTATTATATAAAGCTCAAGGCTTTAATGAACCTTCCACGTTTGCCGAAAACGATTTTGCTCTTGCCATAATGACTGAGGCGCAAAGAGACCTTTTGAAAAAGTTTGGTTCAGACTATATTTGTATTGACAGTTCCGGTACTCATGGAATGGGCGCTTATCATTTTGAAGTGTTAACCCTCATAGTAATTGACGAAATGAGACAAGGATTTCCGTGTGCGTTTTTTATTTCAAACAGAACAGATAAATCTGCTGTGAGTGAATTTCTCTCGGCAATACGAGAGAAAGTTGGAATAATAAATCCTAAGGTGTTCATGTCTGACATGGCTGAATCATTCTATAACGCATGGAAAGAAGTAATGGGCCAAGTTGATAAAAGACTTTTTTGCATATGGCATGTTGACCGTGCATGGCAAAAGAATTTGTCCAAGATAAAAGATTGTGATAAAAGAAAATCAGTAAATAAGAAGTTAAGAGTTCTGCTGAAAGAAACAGATCCAAATGCATTCTTGACAATGCTGCAACAAATTACTGACCAACTTTGTAGTGACCAAGCCACCAAAGAATATGGTGATTACTTCAAGGAACATTTCGGGTCGAACTACCATTCATGGGCATACTGTTTTCAAGTAAATTTTGGCATAAACACTAACATGCATCTTGAAAGTTTGCATAAAACAATAACACATTTTATATTGGAAGGAAAAAATGTGAAGCCACTTGATAAAGTCATAAGTGCAATCATGCAACTCATTAGGCAGAAACTCTTTAATCGATCAGTAATAATTGAAAAGGGAGTACTAACTTCCAAAGTAAAATTGCTCAGAAACCGTCACAAAAGTTCTTTGTCCATGAACCCAGACTTAATTGTTAAGTCTGAAACTTTTGAAAATTCTTGGAATGTGACATCGTCGGATTCTGGCAATACGTACATGATTCGTCAGATAATAGAAGTTTGCTCATGTCGCATTATTTGCCCACAGTGTGCAGCGTGCATACACAAGTTCACATGCACGTGCATCGATGCACGCATTAAATCTAACATGTGTAAACATGTGCACCTACTATGTCGGAAATTGATATCGGAAGATCAAGCCCAAAATCACGATGAACCCGGCGATGACGTGGGAGAAGTCAGAAGTTTGGAGGAAAGAAAATCAATATTGGCAGAAGTGTCAACTAAAACTGTACTGCCCAAAAAAGTTAGACCTACTGACAAACTTCTTCTAAGGCAACGTTTTGAGTCAATTTTAAATAAAATTGACTACCCGGACAGTTTAAAAGTAGCTGATCAATGCTTGAAAAACCTTGAGGCGAAGTTAACGTCCACCAAGCAGAGGAATATTGCCCTACAAGTCAGAAGTAACACAAAAAACATGAAAATCAAGCCTCATGTGAGGTTCTTTTCATCCAAAAACAAAAAGGAAAAAAACTGTAAGGACAACTTCCTGGCCTACACGAGCAGCACAGAACATAGCTTTAACAGCATTGATTGGTTCAGGGTTAAACCTTCAACAAGTCACTAATCAGGTAGGCTAAGATTAATATTACGATGAGTATCATTAGTCCTTAACTTTAAACAGTAATTAATTATTGTATGTATTAATTATTAATTATAGTGTTACCTATAATCAATTAACGGTTAATTGATTCATAATTTGGTAACTTAATCTAAATATATAAAAAGAAAATTGCCTGGGGTGGTGCTTAAACAGCAACATTCTGAGAGACAACCTCTTGTTGTAACACAAAAGGCAATTATAAAAGCGGCACTTGGCAAGGGTAGGCAATACTCGTCGGATGCTCTGTTCACTGAAATGAATGTACTTGATTTAACGCAACTATTCATCAGAACAGTTTCGATGTTTATTTTAAAACAACATGAGTCACTCTTTGATCGTCCACAACATGACCACAATACTCGACATGCACTAGGCCAAGGCATACGCTTACCTACAAAGACATTTTCTACAACTAATTGCTACTATGTTGCACACATCATTTACTCCAACCTTCCACTAGACTTACGAGACTTCGACAGACACTCAATTACAACGTACAAAAAACACATTGTTCACTGGCTCAATCTCATTGGTAGGGATGGAGCTAATAGATTATTAGTTTCCATATACCGGTACAGACAATAGCTGACAGCTGGTACAGTGTGTGATTGTGAGTGCGCGTGTGTGCGTTTGTGTGTGGGGGGGGGGGGAGGGGGAGGTTTTCGGTAGTTAATGGTAGGGGGAAGTCAACGAGTCTACCTGACTTCATTATCTATGTTCCTATGCGATTAGCCAAAATTCCGCTAGTGTTTTGTAATCATGCCAGTAATTAGAAGTTTTTTGTTTTGTTTTTTAATAAGTATCAAAGTTTCTTTTTCTTTCTTATTAAGCTGCAATCGACTCACTCCCACGCACGGGTTCTCCCATGTGGGTTTAATTTTGTATACTTATAAGGTATTCAGTTATACTTCTATTGTAATATACATTATTTGTAAAAACTGTAAAAATAATTATTTTATACGGAATAAAAGAAATTTTGATTAGATTTGATTTGGCAAAGCCCTCACTGACCCACTCACTCACTCATCACTAATTCTCCCACTTCCCATTTAGGCTACCTAGGAGGCTTAAATTCGGTACACCATAAAATAACTTTGGGCTTTGGGCATTAAATAGGAAAACTAAGTAGTTTTTATTCTGATCGGGCTTTCGGGCTCCGCCCCAGTGGCTCTGGAGTTTCCCATGTTAACCTTATGATTTTTTATTTAAAAGGAATTAATGAATCTTAACAGCTGTTTCAATTAAACAAGTTGGTTCTGTTCTATGATGTTCAATAGCATTAAAGTTACAAGGATTACCAACAGGGTGCAGCACTATTATTTGTTTTAAATTTATGACAACAGCTAATTTGCAACCAAAAGGTGAGTGAGCGGAACGAACAAACTTCAACCAGAACGAGATTGAGCCATGCGAATACTTATGACGTTAAACGGGGCAAAGCCTGCGGACGGTACAGCTAGTCTATTCATAAAAGAGGAAGTATGTATGTATGTACGCTATGGACTCCGAAACCGCTTGGCAGACTGTAATGAAACTTTCAGGCATTATTAAGCATTACTCAAGGATGGTTTGTGTGAAGTTTGGTGCAGATCCGACAAAAAGAAGCTCTGCGCCGGAGGGTTTTAAGGAGTCCAATGTCAGACTTTAGGAACTACAATGTTTACAAATACAGTAAATTATAGGCTAATTTAAAAGCAGAGAAGTTCACTTTTTCAAGTATTTTGTAGGTTTATATAATTACAACATTCTGTATTAGTCATGATTTGAAATAGTGCCACACTGTTTTTCCCATAGAATGCAGCACAGAAAACTATTTTACTTTGGAAGTCCAAATATATTAAGTTAAGCCCCAATTGCAGCATACCTGTGCACTCAACAACCTTTTTATTCTCCACTATTAAAACATCAAAACTAAAAACCTTTATCAAAGTATTATAAACAATAAAATGGATGGAAATGCCTTAATATTTTTATTTTTTGTACCATACCCACCTAATCTAGGTCTAACATAAATTATTAAGTGAATAAAAATCATGCGTGCTAACTTATCTCAGGTATTCAAATGCCTCCCAATTTGTCATTACCCCACAAAATTACTGTAATTAAAAGAAGAAACTCCAATTGTGAAACTTAAATCCACCCAAGCTGTGAAACGGAACCAGGGGTAAGGAATAATTTTTTGGGTAGGCCTGAGTTTGATCGGGAGACAAGAGGTTTGAAGGGATTTCCTCTGCTAAAAGGAGGAATTTTAAAACTTAAATGCAAAATAATTAGTTTGAATGTTTATTTTTATTTACATATAATTAAATTTCTGAATTTATTTATCGTTTTTCTTAATTTATTTATCGTTATGAAATATCTATCAAAATTTTGGGTAGGCTCGGGCCTACCTGGCCAGCCCTCTGGAGCCGCCGACTGACAATTCAAAAAATGCCACCAAACTTGATGAAAGCAACAATTATCAGTGTAAAAGAGAAGTCTTACACAAGAATACCGATGATTTAATCCGAATAACCCTTTGAATTCAAGCGACTACAATTTCCTTTGCGTCTTGCTTTCGCAATCACCATTATAAGACACACTTGGCAATCCCTGATGACTATCGCCGGTTTAAATTTAGAAAATGCATGCTTTTCACGTGGTCCTGTGCTATGTCCTGTGCTCACGTGGTGGTATATACGCCTTAAAACATATATATTTATACACCTAATGAACAAACAAAAACATTGTTTATCCACTGGTAATTAAGTAAAATAAATATTCTATTTTAGATTTTGGTACCGTGTACATTTTTAATATTTAGTGTAAACTAGCAGAGCACCCGTCCTTCATACGGGGTTGGCATAAAAGTATAAAATGCTTATTGCAGTTATACTCAAGCTTTGCGTTTGCAATGGGTGGAGGACACAGTTTGATAAAATTTTGTTCATAAATTTACGGTATGATATAGTATAACACATCTACCGATTGCCAAAATGTTCTACCTACCACTGCACCTAAACAATAGAAAAAAATAAATTAGCCTATCAAACATTCGCACAGTATCACAAATTATTCATTAAATTAAAAACTCAAACCTAACTGTAAACAATCCTACTTTGACAGTTCTCATTGTGTATCACAGCTTTTTGTTGCTGCTTAGTTCAAATTAGCTGTTGTCATATATGCAAAAACAAAATAATAATAGTGCTGCACCCTGTTGGGAAACCTTATAACTTTTTAATGCTATTGCATATTATAGAACCAACTTGTAAAGTTGAAACAGCTGACTAAATTCTTTAGTTCCCTTTAAATATGAATACTCATAAGGTTATCATGGGGAACTACAGAGCCACTGGGGCGGAGCTCGAAAGGAATTTCGAGATAAGAATATGCCTAAACTTAAATGTTAATCGGGAATGTGAGCTATCATCATGCCAAATTTCAGCCCAATCCGTCGAGTATTTTATGTGTGATTGAGCAACACACACACAAACTCACAAACTTTCAGATTTATAATATTAGTAAAATAATAAATTACCATTTAAAATATTAGTTCTTAGCGCAGCAACAAGCGCCTGATAACTGCTAGTCATTGTACTAATAATTAACAATCAATGATTAAGTAATTAGCCTAAATGACATAGTCAACAGCAGACACATTAATTTTTATTCTTTAAGTTTAAGTTCTTGTACTTCACATACCGGTACCTATTATGTTCTGATAGGCTAGTGCCATTTTTACTGAAAAAAAAAGTTATTATTTGAACACGTACACACAGACACCCCAGATATATTCACAGAAAGGCCTACCAGTACACATACACATTTAAACGTGGACCCTTGCTTTTGTGACATACTAACATAATAACCCCAACAGCACAATGGGCTTGCTGGGAACTTGTTCCAAGTCCATTGGCCCAAGTTTCCAAGCCTGGTTTAGACTAAGGCACCAAAGTCTGTAGGCTTGGTTTTGACTTGTTTTAGAGACCGAAGTTGGCAGTTGTTCAACTTGTTATGGGTTTGGCTCCCCAAGTCCAACCCAAGTCCCAACCCCAAACCTACAGTGAACTCATGGTCACAAACCTACTCTAAGCTTGGAATGATGGATACAAAACAGGTCTGGTAGATTAAGCAGGCTCATTATGGACTTGTTCGGGACTTGGGGACCCAAGCCCAATTTTAGTAGGCTCATATTGGACTTGGCTTAGACTCATATTGGAATTGGTTTTAGCACATTTTAGACTTGGGCAAACAAGCTCACACTGATAAATTAAACAGGCTCATTATGGACTTGGAGACCCAAGCCCAATTTTAGTAGGCTCATATTGGACTTGGCCTAGACTCATATTGGAATTGGTTTTAGCACATTTTAGACTTGGGCAAACAAGCTCACACATATAGACTCACTCAGACTTGGTACGAAGTTTTATGACTTACTGTCATGATCAGAGATAATAATAATAATTTTATAATAGGCTATAGTAATAGTAATATAATTTATACCTATTTAACATATAAGCTGTTTCACACCATTCATCATTTGTTAGCCCACCTTTTTTCTTAAACATAAATATAATTAATTTTTTACCAAGAAACATTTATGATCAATAAATGAAGCCTATTTTATGAGTCTTAAGTGATCTTGGAAAAAATATTGGTTATATATGATCTTTTAGGTTTAGAAAACAAGACATTCACATTTCAAGACAATTTATTAATATAATAAATACAATGCCCACTATCTTCCACTTCACCTTCAACTTCTTTTCTGAATCCATCAACTCCACCGCCTGCTTCAGAAGATCTATAAAAAAATACAATTGCATTAGACGAATTATTTGGTTTATTAAAATTTATTATTTAAATAATTTTTCATAATTTTTATTTGTTATTAGAATTATTAGATTATTTGGCATTTTTGTTGGTGTTGCAAACACAGGGTATGTTAACTTACTCTTGTTTTTAAAATTGTTATCAAACTTTTATTTCTTACTGTTTTACTTTTATAATGATTACAGCATGTGATAAAGGAACTTACACTTATCAACAAGGCTACTGAATACAAACAACATAAACTAATGGTTTGGCCTGTTTTTATCTGTAGACTAGGTTAAGGCATTTACTATAATGGTTAAGGTTAAACACAAATTTTGGCACTGTTCTGTAGAGTTCAGCAGTAGAAGTTGAAAGGTTAAAGTGCAAAAGGTTTAGGCTATAAACAAAATTCTGGGGTTCTTGATGCAATGAAATTAATTGTTTGCTTAACTTAGCTTACTTATATCATCATAGACTAACCAACACAAGTATATTTTTTATCAATGGAGTGTAAATCTTACCTTTACAGCTAGGAATCCCTTAATTCTTCTTTGCTTCGTCTTGGTATCAAAACCACAAACAAAACGAGCAACTCACAACACCAAAACAAGATAAGTGGGAACTGACAACTGAGGAGAGTGAGGAAGTCTAAATCCAACAAAAATGGTGGTTCAGCACAAAGAAACAGGTTTTAGAAGCGTGTTGTGGGTAGGGGTGGAGGGAAAATTCTTTTGTCATATGGCACTGCTCACTTTAGACTCACATGAACAAGCTTGTCGTGGGTCTGTTTAGGAGTTTAAATTGTAGACTTGGCCAACCAGGTTATATGTAAATGAAACAAGTTTAGTTTTGGCTCATTCACACAAGTTCACTTAACCAAAGCTGTTTTCAATTTGTAGTGGGTTCCAAACTCCAGGTTTGTCATACCAATTCAGAAATATGTAAAAACTAAGTTTAGTCCAAGCTCACGTGCTGTCTGGGAAACAACTAGGCCTATACAAAATTTGATAATCTAGGCCTATACAAAAGATATTTCCTCATTTGAAATAGCCTAATTTTTATGTTAATTTTATTGTTCCAGTGTCCAAGATGAAAGGGATTTGTAAATAAGTGTAAATATATCAAATTAGTTTAAAGAAGAAATAAGATTGAAGATCTTCGTAATTTAATATGAGGTATGTTACTATTTATTAAATGTAGTTAGTCTAAGGTCCAAGCAAAACCAACCTAGCCTATACAGTCCATATTTCAGACAGAAAACATTTTATTGGCTGGGCCTGAAAGAAAAGTAAAACATATCTTTGTCAGCTTCAGTCCCTTAACATTTTCACTGTGGTAATTAGCATTAGGCCATAGCCAGTCTCCCACTATGGTTCGGCCGCTTAGATAGCGACCTCCTCTAGCATTGGTTAGCATTAGCACGCAGGTCGCTATCTCAGCGGCCAAACTATAGTAAAAAGGCCATGCTGCAGCACGGGATTAGGAATTTACGTCACAGTGGTGGATAGGTCTAGTTGTACTAAAGTTGCCAGATGTTAACAGCCAGCTTATTTGCCAAAAACACATGGGATATGGCAGTGAATCTATCCACAAGTGTGACGTCATGAATCCTTCAGCATGGCTATTTTTTTGTGGGACCTTGTTGTAGCACCTAAAATGCTTAAGAACTCTTTTTAATAGGCTGTATAGGCCTGCTCACCAGTATCTTGATGTCTAGATGTCCAAAAGGAGGTAGATTGGCGATGAATACTCATCCATAAAGGAAGTAAGTGATTTTATGGCTTCATTTCCGATTCTGATAAGTAAATTGTAGTAAACTTGGGCAGGCCGCGGCAGGTGCTAGTCCATGTGGGCTGCTTATGCCGCTCAGTTTTTTGGCTGCACAACCCTACAGACCCACCTAAAATTGTTCTTTGCAAGTACAAAGTCTTAAAAATGTTTAGGCCTAAGTTATGTATGAAAAAAATATATTTACTTTAAGTTTCTTCCCACCAACCAATAGCACCAGATAGCAGCACTAGCACTAAACAAATGTGCTAAGTTAACTAACAGGCCCTCAGTTTGGAAAAAGGAAAAAGCCAACAGGAGAGGAAAAGCAGGGGCGAATCCAGGATACACCATAACAAAAGTTAATCAGACAAGTTGAAATTCGCTTAGTCTGCAGCCATAGTCTGCAGGTTTGCTGCGGTGGGGGTTTTAATTAATTATTTATCATTTTTTCACTAGGCCTACTTGTACAGTTTCAGTAACAAAATAAGATAATAACATAATAATTATGATACTTAAAATATTTGATATTTGATACTTGTATTCTTAATCCTTGACTGACGATTGTCAGATTTTATGTATATTAAAACACCTAATTCTTTTAGAACTAGAATAACTATAACTAATATTTACAACTGGTGGTATGGCGGATATTTTGATTGTAAATGGAAAGAGTGGTTCATCGGTCAGCTCCCCAGAGAATGTAGTGGCCTATTCTCACGGGCCTTATATACAACTTTTTAAAATTCTTTCATGGCCATCTCTCAAACTTGTATCCGCATCGAAGCAATGTTAGTGAGGGGAGCACAGTGTTCATGATTAGTAGGCTTATTTTGCTTATTATTGGCTGATTTTGCAGTGCTAGTGCTCAGGTACTTTAATTAGTAGCCTGTGCTAAAATAGTAGAAGGTGCTAAAATTAAAAAAAGTCTGTGAAAGAAAAATCACTTCTCGGGAGTAATGTAAGGCCTAACTTGATGAGAATAAATCATCGTAAGTAACAGCGGATCATAAGGCAATCAATACCTAAAAAGGGACATCTAAGATTGTAAATTAGAGCAGAGTTCAAAACAAAATGAAAGTTGGAACTAGTGATGGTCAAAATCAGAAATTTTGAATCTCAAAACTGAAACCGAATCTTTAAAAAGCTGGTTACAAAGGTTATGGTTACAAAAAATACACATAATCATAAAATGTTAAGTATGCAATCAAAACTGAAAGAGATCGACTCCTGACCGTGACATAACATAAATATGTGAATGTGACTGATAATCTTAAAACTCGATACTGTAAAACAATTTTTTATAAACAACCAACAACAAAAATAAATTAAACTTCTAACACCAACATAAACATGAATATTAGATTAATTAGAACATTTAGTGGTCAATATTTCTTTGTGTTTAGTAAAAATATTGATGTGAAACTGGATTGTACCAGCTATAGACGTTATAGTATTTAAGATACCTTTTGAAGTTCAGGATAAAATTTACTTGTTTCATTACTGTTAATGGTGATGTTTGCTCTGTTGCTACCAGCTTGTTTGGAAACAAACAGTGTTAAAAACAATAACAATGGCACAAAAAAATGTCAGCAGTTTCAAAAATAAAACTGCCAACATCTTCAATTTCGAATCTCTTGAATCTCGAAACCGAAACTTTTCCTAAGCTTTGATGGTTTTGAGATTTGAGATTCGGTTTTGACACATCACTAGTTGGAACAACAGATGATAGTAAGCACAATAGCAAATAGGCCTACAGGTGAGTTGGTGGCTCAGCCAGAAGCGCCATGAAGGCAGCTATGTCATGGGTTCTTATCCTGGTATCCGCCACTACTTATCATTCGTAGGTCTACAGTTCTTCCTTGTACTGTACTGGCTCACCACTTGCTTTGCTGGATATTTTCCACCCACAGGCCTCTGTGGCCGATGTGGACAGGCAAAAAAGCCTGCCCTAGGTAGAGGTAGGCCTAGGCTTACTGGTAAAATAATTTTACTAGTATATAAAACTGAACACTTATTTTAATTGAATTAAGTTGATTTGGAATTGCTCATTATTGAAACAAAAAAAAAAATGAATATACCTTGTTTCAGCTCTACTCCTCTTATATTACTTTACAAATTAAACCAGTTTTGACAACATTCGAGCTTAGTTTGGAGGAATCAGAGAGTATGCTCAAGATGATATTGTCATTACTTCTAGGTAAGTTTTTAAAATGTTACACATATATATAAGCTGTATATAAATGTTTCTTATTCTCTTTTTTGTGGTTGTTTGTATGTTAATTAAGAAGGGATGAATGCGATTGGATTTTTAGTTGGAGACGAGACGATACAGGATTTTCTATTTCTCATAAAATTTCGAGACAAGATAGAGACGGGATTTCCCTTCTCATACTTAACGGGAAATGTATGTTTGACATTTTTACCTGATTTTGTAACGTTGTTAAAAACACCTACTACACACCTACTGATTTATGACATAGATGACTGTTTAAATACAAAAATAATAATAGGCAAGAATATTTAAAATCATTTAACTTATTTATTAAAAACATAAGTAAACAAAAAGATGATATTAATTAAGCCTACCTTATTAAAAACAAAAAACTCTCATGCTTATGAAACATGGTGATATCAGTTAGGATAGAGTTAAACTTTGAAAAATACCAAATTTATCGGTCTTAAACATCAAGTAACAATTTCAGTCATGTGATATATTTAAAATGATATTGGAGTGACTTGTTTTGGCTATGAAAGAAAGAAAGAAAAAAGTGCTTTATTTTTCACAATTAATTAATTTACACCCTGTTATATATACAATAACAAAAAAACAATGGTTTATTTAAACAGTCTGTTTTTTCGGCATGTTAGTTGTGACTGAACATTATTTAAAAACTGTAACATAAAGTACCTACTCAACAATACATATTCAAATAACAAGTATTATTGAAACTCAGCTCGTAAAAAAAAAACTGATCATAAAATAAAATCAATATTAATTTGTTGGTAAAACTTTTGTGAGTTCCCCCATAACATATTATTATAGTTACCCCCACGGCTTGTCCATCACAAAGGTTGTTGTCAAGCTAATGGGAGAAAGTATGTGTCGGATTGCTGCGTTTTTTAAGATATGTTTTGTTCTTTAAGGTGTCATTTTTATGTGATGTTCTTCTATTTTGATTTCAGGGTGTGGCAATCCTGACAACACAGTGTTTAACGATCAAGAATACATTCAGGAACAAACCCAGTACCTAGGACTGTGCAACACATAAAACAACTCAGTGAAAAAGTGCCCCCTGTGTTCAAAGTATTTCTGTGAGTTTTGTACAACTACTGTACTCATCATTATTGTGTTTGACATTAATTTTACCCAAAGAAGTTCTCAGTTATATTCTTGACTGTCCCAGTATATGTTAAACAAGGATCCTAGGAGAATACTGTACTGCACTGAGGTCTTAATTTGTATCTGTTCTTTATTAAGTTTCTACAATTTGTTTGTTATTTAATAGTGTATTTTTGTGGTTGCCATCAATCGATTGGCTTATTGTTTGATTACATAATAGATTTTGACATTAGTTGTACATAATATAAATTTTAAAGGAGCTATAAAACTTGATACAAAACAAGGATATTGAAGGATGTTTTATGTACCGTAAGCAGGGAAGAATGCTTTTGTTATTTTACATATCACTGGTATATTGTGAGTAGGCCTATTGAGGAAGTTGATAAGTTGTAGGTGTAAATAAAGAAATGATAAAATTGAGTAAATACCTTATGTATAATGGATAAAGCAGCTTTAAAATCATAAGGAATATTTTTAAAACAGAAAATTGTATTTTCAATAATTTAAACTCAGTCTAGCTCCCTATGAAAATGGCATCTATGTTGTATTTGCCAGACAAGCTTTTACTAATAGTCTTTTCATATCTCGATGTCACTGACATAGTATTTTCCATCATGTACGTTTGCAAACGTTGGAATAATCTTGCAAATGATTTTTATATGGAATAAATTAGAGTTTGATGTAAATGGAAATCTGTACCCAAATTAAATGTCATAAAGGTAAGCTTTTAAGGCTCCTTCCCAAACTGAAAATAAAAAAGTAAAGTTATTTTGGAATAAGGCAATTGGTTTTATAATAATAATATGTTTAAAGAATACTGTCCTAATTTAGTATGGATGAATGAAAATTAATCCTGACAAATCAACAGAAATTAGTGTATTTTTTATTTTGTACATTTTGCACAATTATTAAACCTTTCAAAATTAAAATTCTCACCTTGGTGTTGTATAAGTTATGCCCATATTTGACTGGTCTATCACTTCCTTGACTTTTTCGTCCACTTTCTTAAGATTTGGTCTGTTACAATTTTTTATTGATAGCTGTCCCGACCTCGGTTCTTTCCAAATTTGGACCAATTGGAGGTCAAAGAAGAAGACATTATATTTTGTCTCTCTAAGAGACACCGGTCCTTCAAGTATCTGTCATTTAGTTGTATTTTGATAAAATGATAATGTATTTAACCACTTAGAGAAATACCAGCTCAAACTATTACATATTACAAATTGTTTAAACTTTACGTAATAGTACGTAAATAGTCTTAATGCAATGACATCTCTCGAACATCCAACCCTTGAGGGAGCAAATTTTTTTCAGCTCAAGTATTGCACAAGTTTTATCTCTCTAGCCTCTCCAAGAATTTAACTTATGTTTTACTTTTGAAAGTAAATTGGACACTGGAGAATAATCATCTTTGTGGTTAAGTATGAATTCAAACATTCAGTTTACTCATAAAGGTGAAATGTGTGATTGTGTTTTAACAAAATACTGGTTTAAAAGTTCTTTCAAATGGTTAAATCTTAATTTATGTCCCAATGATGTCAAGACATACCAAGGTCATTTTGATTAAGTATGAAATCTTGGACAATTTAGCCTTTTGTGCCAACAATTTATGCATAATTAATGTATATAATAAATAAGTATAGATAACTAATGTATATGTGTAATTTATGTATATAAGAATGACAAAATATGGGTTATTTTTAACTTAGTAAATTACTTGGCTACTATTGAGGTACTCGAGAAGTGTAAATAATTTATGGATATAATAAATCCATATTGGATATATTATATCCAGAGAACAAAAACATCTCTTGATTTTAATTAATGATTTTGTAGCCTATTACATGTTACATTTTTTCACTCATTTTGTTATTGTATGGATACAACAGTGCTTAATGTTTTTGTATGGAGGAATTAATAAGCTTATTTCTACATTAGATTGTTTACAAAGTTAGTTTGACATTGCTTATTGTTCAAGAAATGAAGGTTATTAATTTGTAAACATATTTAATAACAATGCATAGTAAATAAAAATTATCAATAATTGATAGTTCAATGTAAAATAATAGCTCAAACATGCTTAACACTTCTTAAATTGTCTTGGAAAACTTTAAATACAGTATGATTGATGCCAAGCTAACACTCTACAGGATTAAATTAAAATACAATACAGCAAGATGGACCCCTACAGTTTTTAAGTATAAAATTAATTTTTGTTTTATTTCAACTTGATTCACTCAATCATGTCAATATTAAAACATTGTAATGACAAACCATGACAAAAGGCAATACGAGCCGGCAAGGTGGCAATGCCCGAACAGAAATGCTACTCCTTTTGTTGACGACTTGTTCAGCTTACCAATGGTTAGCGGCCCAACTAGTACTGCGTGTGATTTTAACTTATTAGATTATTGCAGATCATTTGTACATTTAAATAATACCTTTAATCATTATTTAAATTTAAGTATTAGTCTTAGTAAATCACAAATTACTTGCTTATTTTACTTTACTTTGAACAGAATCATTCCTAAAAACGTAATTATTGTTTTCCGACAAAAAAAAAAATTAATGTATTTAGGCCTGAAACGACCTCGGTTAACTCAGGGGGCTCGGATAACTGGGGTTTGGATAATTGAGAGTGTACTGTAATAGAATAAGGAGGATAGCAACTAGCTAACCTTGAAGAAGGACAGGTCAGCCAAAGAACATACAGAAGAGACATGGAACACTCAATATTTTATCACCTGGGGGACTTGTGAAGTGAGACGATATATTGTGTGTTCTATGTATCTTTTGTATCTTCTATGGACTGACTACCTGTACTTCTTTAAGGGAAGCTATCCTCCTTTATTCTACAACTCAACATCCTGGCTTAGAGCCTGTTAACAAAACTAAACCAACCCATATTTGAATGACATTCAAATTTTAACCTCCAAGAGTGATTTCAACCACCAAAATTATAACTTGAACAAATTACAGTGAAGTTTGGCTCAAACTCTGAAATGATTTTAGCTCGGATCATTTTTGAAATTTGTTGCTTTTGAAATTTGTTAATTGGTGAAGTCTTACAATGAAGAAAACGAAAAACTGTTTGAGAATGTAAATAATTAACTTTGAGAGAGATATCGGTTTTACTTGACTTGTATTCCTTAAGTTTTACCAGAGTGGACTAGTTAAATAAGTGATGGTTATGTTTTGAGGATATACGACATTCTTCTATCTGAATAGAATTTTATGATTACAATATGTATTAATTTTCCCTAGAGTATAGCAGTTATCCGTAACATATTTGTCATGTGTCAACTGTTGATTAAAGACTGACTTACTGATGACGATTAAAGATGTTTGCAATAATCTTGAATTATTCCTACCCTTATGAAAATTTATGAGTATTTGGCAATTTGCAAAAAAATCCTGGGTACAGTTACACAGAGAACCCGTGATATCTGATGAAATTTTCTTTTACAATATTATATTTTAAGAAAACTATTAATTTTATGTTATTTTTATGGGTCTATCTAAGAAGAGAGCTGCCTGCCACTCCTTTACAGTGCTGGGGCAAATAGATTAATTTAGTTTAGATCAGTTTAGTTTATGATAATAGGAAACAAAGTACCGGTAACATTTAAAAATGTTTACCTTTTTATAAACTAGTGAAAACGGGGATACAAACACAAATTGAGGACTTTGTGAATTTATCTCTTAAAAGAATTACACATGTAGACATCTGTTTCAGCGAATTTCCCATATAGGGATAAGCTATTACCACAGGTCTCATGGTAAGACCTAGACCCGGGACCGATTATTTTTATATGGGTGTGTATGTGTGTCCTTTAGCACGATAACTCAAGCAAAAATGATCCAATTTTGATGAAATTTGGTACATACATGTAAACCTACTTTTATTCGAACAAGTTCACAAACCAGCATAATCGGACTTTGGGAACGAGGGTTTACGGGGTAAAAATAGATTTTTCCCATTTTTGACCCTAAAAACACAACATTTTAAAATTTCCCCCCAAACCATTTTGTAGAGCTTAAAAAAGAAATAATTTTGTATATTGAAGTGTGTTGTATGCCCAACAGTTAGGAAGATGAATTAAAATCCTTGTTTTAGCCCCTGAGCTGTATAATAACTAAAATAGGCTTTACCTTCGTCACTGCAGCTCAAATTATTGTGGTGTAACTACGTTACGGCCGTTTCGGTATTACAATGCCATCGTCAGACTACAAAAACACAAACTCGGCTGAAGTACCGTCGTTGAAGTTTAAACACGTAACACATACGAACAATAACATACATTTAAAATATTTACAAAAACCGGCATATATGTTACTTTTGCAAAAACATTTTAAAAATAGTTGTTTAGCCTCCGGATTACTGTATTATACTTAAAATGGTTTACAATACCTGCATATAGTAATCTCTAACAACGAGAGATTACGTGGGTAATCTCCCAGAGGGGAGGTAATTGCCCGGTGTTGGAACCGGCACTTCAGGTAGGCCACAAGCTATGGACGACTGGACAAGCCAGCCTCTTTGGGTTGTACCCAAAGTGAGAGTACCCAGTGATATTCCCTCCATTCAGGGTGGTGGGGTGTTCAGCTCTGCTAGTGTTGATTAAGTTCATAGATCTTTCACCTGCCTGTAGCTTGTGGTTGTGACTGAGTTCTTCGGGCTCGTCCTACCTGTTGTGTTCGACTGACATTTTGTGAGGCATATCCTCGACTTTGGAAGTAGCCTCGTCCTGGGAGGTGAAATACCTAGCCCCCAAAGGGGAGGTAAATGCTCGGTGTTGGTATCGGCATTTTCAAGTAGGCCACAGACATGGACGACTGGGCATTGGGTCCCAGTGACATTCCTTTATCCAGGATGGAGGGGTGTTTAGCTCTAGGAGAGATGGAAGTGCATCATATTCTCTAACCTACCTGTGTCTGTGGTTCTTTGGGCTTAGGCCTGCTTGTTGTGTGCGACCAGCATTCAGTGTGGCAAATCCTCGACTTTGGAAGTAACCTTTCCTGGAGGTGAAAACGAGCAAGTACCCGTAGCTCACGGGGACACTCAAGGGCAACGTAACTTTCCGCAGTGTGAGGGCAACGGTTTGTAGGCACTTATGCAAACCAATCCCTGTCTCTGAGCACGGACGGTATGGTTATCTTGAGTGTGGGGGGTTCTTCCCGGAACCTCAATTGAGTCAAGGGTGTCGCCACCTCTGGTGGATAGGTTCATCCGGGTGGGTCCCACTTCTATACCTGCCTCCTTTTGGGAAACCCTGATGGCCTGGCAGTGATGTTGGGTCTGACGGGCAAACGAAGTAGATCGGGTGCTGGGTCCGAGCCCGCCAGGGGTATCTGGGGATCTATCGCTCTGGTTATCTCTGGTTTCCCAGCAACTGGGTAAGGCCTCGATCGGGTAGTGGTGTAAATGGGAGGTTGGGGTTCCCCCCGTCAGCGTGCTGACGGTCCCCTTCCTTCTGGCTATTGATGGCGGGTTTGCCTGTCAGGGATTAGATAGGTCCCGAGTGTTACTTGCACTAAATGCGTCGGGGCGCTCTACCATGGTCCTCTAGGTCCCGACCTAGTGGAACCCAGGTGGAGTGACGCTTAAACCAGTAGCCGGGAACCCTGGTTAGGATTGAGGGGCAACCCTCTTTCCGAAGGGTCTGCTTCGGCAGCCGGTGAGCCTGATAACCTTAAGTCATCCGCCCATGATGTGCAAAAGGTTGATGCGTAAGCTTCGGCCTACATCATGGGGCCCGGGTAAGTCTCACGACAGGTACCGGGTATGTAGTCAGGGGGCTTCGGCTCTCATGACAAATAATGAAATGAAATGAAATGCATATAGTAATCCTTTGTTGCTGATTTTGGCAACTAGTTTCGGTTCATTATTGAACCATCTTCAGGCCTCAAGGTGTCAAATAATCACTTCATTCGAAGGTCGTTAATAACAGAGTTCAATAAATAAGACATATACAAAACACGATACACGGAACGGACACACATTACAAAAAACACGAAAAACACGAAGGGACATTGACAATCGATCGTGACCGGGCTGAGGTAAAGTCTAGACTAGCGGTCAAAGTGGTCTATGACGTTGTCTCTGTCTTCTTATCACCGGTGCGTGTTCTTTCATTCATTGTTCCCCTCCAGTATCCTAATAGCTGTATTGTAAATATAGTTGGATTGAAAGGAGAGTTTATCGTTCAAAACGTTTTGATGGTCAGCTTTAACTGCTCTGTATATTTCAAACTCCTCCAATGTGTTTCTGTTTAAACGGTCCTGCGAAAAATGTAAAACTTCCATATTACTATTGATGTTTGAATAATTGTGGTTGTGTAATACCAGATGTTCTGCGTAATTTGATGTTTGGGGAGCTGTTGTCTTTCTGGGCATATGTTCCTTAAACCTCTTCTTAAACGATCGTGAAGTCTGGCCAATGTAATATTTCGTGCAGTCATTACAATTTATTTTGTAGACTCCAGACTTATCGTAGATGGTTGAATTAGTTTCTGTTTTTTCTTTCAATAGAGATCCAAGTTTATTGTTAGTCTTGAACGATACGGTGAATTTATTTTTGTCCATGATATTTTTAAATGTGCTACTGATATGTGAACCATAAATTGCTGAAATATAAGTTTTCTTTTCTGTTGATTTAGTTTGAGGTTTATTTAAATGTTTGAAAATCAGTTTGTCCACTAGACTGGAGTGAAAGCCATTTGCGACTGCTATGTATTTGATCGTGTTTATTTCTTCATTTTAATCATTCTGATTCATCGGTATTGATAACAATCTATGGATAAAACTGTTGTAGGCGGCGATTTTTTGAGAGTGTGGGTGGTGTGAATCAGCATTTATGGTCTGGTCAGTGCAAGTAGGCTTCCTGTAAATTTTAAATTCGAAATGATCGTTTTGTTTCTTAATTGTAAGGTCCAGAAAATTTAATACATGGTTTTTTTCCTCCTCTAACGTGAACTCAATATTCCTGTGCATTTTGCACAAATAACTGTTTAACAAAGAAAGTTGTCTGCTATTACCGTTAAATAGCATTATCGTGTCATCAACATATCTGTAATAGAACAAAATCATATCTCTGTAACGGTTAGCGTCTGTAAAGAGATTGTTGTTCTCTATATGGTTCAAGAATATTTCAGCTAAGATACTATTACTTTTGCAGTCGGTTTATGCTTGGAACGGGAACATGTCACCCGTTAGTACGACAGGCCTGTTAGATTTTTGTAAATATTTTAAATGTATGTTATTGTTCTTATGTGTTACGTGTTTAAACTTCAACGACGCTACTTCAGCCGAGTTTGTGTTTTTGTAGTCTGACGATGGCATTGTAATGCCGAAACGGCCGTAACGTAGTTACACCACAATAATTTGAGCTGCAGTGACGAAGGTAAAGCCTATTTTAGTTAGGAAGATGGTTAAAAAAATTGTAAATTCAAAATTCCCATTTAATTCTTATGGACAATAAATAAATAACTGTTGTAGTTTGCTAGTTTATGTATATATATTTTAACAAAATTTTAAAATTTTGTCTATTTGCTACTAGACTATCAACATTGCAATAAAAAAAAAAAACATAGATTGGAGGGGGAAGTCCCTCATGTATAAGTCAAGTGCTAGATGTGCTCCTTGGATTTTTAAGATTTTAAATAGTAAAAAGTGATTTTTTAAGAAATTTTTTTATCAATAGGGTAATTGTTTATATTTAAACGGTCAATTAAATTCAGTGATTATTATTTTAAAAGGGCATAGCGTTAAACCCAAAAGGTGAGATTAATGTATAAATTTACCTGAAAATCAGCAAGGGACAAGGTATAATGTGGTCTCTTATTAGATAAGATAAGGAGGGTCAACTTCATCTGGACTTTGTGGCAGATCTTTAACCATTCACAACCATTGTTGCCTTTCTGTCATTCAAACTGATTGTTGTTTATATTCAGCAAATTTAATCTTTCTCTAAAAATATAAAATTTAAATATTGTACAATTTTTAATTTTATAAAAAAAAACACCAAGAGATTTATTTAATGTATATTATTAATATTATTACAAGAATATACAAACAGTCTATCATCTTAGTTATTAGTTATCATTAAAGAATGGAGCATTTTGAGGAACTTTTATTTGAAAAAACCAATTTAAAGGATGATAATGAGATTCTGATATCAAGTTTTTGTTATTGCTTCCCAGATGAAAGCCATGATTTAGTTAACAGTGCAGCTCAAATTGTGACAAAATTTGATACCATATGTGGCAAGTTGGAGGATCTGGAGGGACAGTTGAGCAACATAAAAGAGGATCTCGATTTGGCTGACTCCAAACTGTCAAGGGAAAGGTGCTCTCACCGTTTTGAGATTGAAAATGCTTTAAAATTTCTAGACGGCCTTTGTTACTGAAAAGGCTGTTTTGGAAACTAAAATACTGGATCCTGGGATCCAAACAAGAGCTTAACCAAAGCTCGGGAATCCTGTTGTGCTACTACCTAAGATAATTCAAGAAAGCTATGACAAGCTCCACAACGACTATGAACGTTTACAGGACTCTAACTGTAAATATATTGTGGAAAACAGCAGGCTGCAAAAACAAATAAAGAAGTATGAAGTTTCCAATAATGAATTGACAACTAAACTGACGGAAAAGCTGTTGTATATAGAAAAGTTTTTACTTATCAAAATGATGTTATGTTTGTTGGACCATCTGTATCACAATTAATTAAATTGCAAACTAAATCAGATGTTGAGAAAACACTAAATGATATGTCTATCAATGAGGAGAAGTATATTTTCTTTTGTATAAATAATAGCACTTCTATAAACTGGTTAGATAATTGTGAGAATGGGGGAACGCATTGGAGTTTGAGATTGACTAAAACAGCACTCCATTACAACTCAGCTCAAGACATCAACATGAAGCATGCTGGGACCTTACTACAAAACATCGGTCAGGAAGGTGTTGTTCTGGATAAGGCTGTAGTTGCACAACAGTTGAATGACTTTGAATGTGACCTACATGTTTTAGTCACTGCTCGGCGGCTCCTCTGCCAGCTGTGTGATCGCATCCTTTCCCCACAACTTTCAGAAAAATACCACAAAAAAAATACAAGTAATACTTCGTTTATGTCTAACACTGAATACACCGTAGATGAGTACAATAAAAATAAATAATAATAATTATGAAGTAAACAACTAAAGACATTGCATTGTGTAACAACTGTGATAAATTTATACAACCTTTAAACACTCTTAAGTTGGCTAACCGATTTGAGGTCCTCTCTTTACCTGACGAGATTGCCAAAGATAAGCCCGAACAAGAGAACTCGACTGATATTACGGATGTTAAAGCAACAACAAAAAATATATCTAAGAGGAAAACAAATAGGTCTAAACAAAAAAATGACCGCAATTTCAATTAAACATCATATTTTAATCCTGGCTGATAGTCATGGGAGGAGTTTGAGCTCAGAATTGACCAATCCCTCCTCTTTACCTATTAAATACACTAATGTTAAAAGTTCACATAAAATTAAGATTCTACACCAAAACATTCAGCACTTCTCTTCTCGGACTTTATAATTGGAAATTGTTTGTTTTAGAAGAAATCAAACCTGAACTTGTTGTCATAAGTGAACACAAATTAAATAAAAATGAAATCCAACATGCATCTATTGTAAACTACAGAACTATAAACAAAATGTTTTAAAATTGTTATACAACAATTGTAATACAAGTTTTGACAATTTTTAACAATTTTTTGCTTATTGGGTAAGTTCCTCCTGGAATATTAAAATTTTATTCTATTTTTTTATATCACTTCCATCAAGCAAACATATTCAAACCATACTGATATAAATGTAGTAATTGTCCAATTACTATAGCACAAAAGGCCCCATAAAAGGTTAAAATATTGTATTAATACTATAAAAACTTCAACAAATAAAACCTTCAGTATGAAGTTGCAAATTGTAGTCACCTCTCGCAGGTAACGTGGATATGTTCAAGGTCGTCTTATGTAACCTGTACGTACATAGTCGTTTGTCAGTGTGCTGGAAGAGTGGTTAAGTTAGGTCTCTTTTTCATAACTTAATTGCAAGACCATACAGTATTGTCAAATATTCCAAGTACAGTATATGCCGTCAAGGTAATATTAATAACAAAGTGTGAGTGACATTTATGTCTGATATCCATTGAATGTTGGATGTTTATGCTGTAACAGAATTTTTAAGTGGATTACTAATTGTGAAAACTAATTAATTTCAATATGAAGACAGATATTGTTATTGTTTCTGCTGTTCGTACACCAATTGGTAAGTTAGAATTAAAAATGTTATATTTTCTGATATCACAGAATTTCAAATAATCCGTTGAATAAGATACAAGTTTTTAGATGTAAAATACTAGAACTGTTGTAATTTTTTTTAACAGAGGTATGTACATTAAAGGCAGCCAAGGTACATAATTAAATTAACTCCCAAAAAAGAGGAAAAAAATTGTATTAAATTTCTATAGTAAAATACACCATCAAACAGTTTTAACAAAATACATAACGTGGAAAAACTATTCTTTGTTTATAATTCAACCGCGGCATTTGGCCACAAAACCAATGGGAGGGTTTTATTTATATTTATAAATGTTACATATCACTAGAAAGAGTAGAACTAACCTTGAAAATTGAGGTTGGTAATAAATAACCAATTAACCATAGTGGTTATATTACAACATTTACAAAATAAAATAAAAAATCATTATTATTATGGTGCTGCTCTTTTATTAATTTCTGCTGCCTACAACTATATTTCTATTGGGCATTAATATAACATACAAAATAATTTACACTACTCAACAACAAACTAGACAACAACTAAACTATTGTTTAGTGAGTCGGTGGCTCAGTCGGTAGCGTCGCGGACTTCCCAAGGCAGCGATGTCGTGGGTTCGGATCCTGGTCACTGCCAATAACATTTTATCAGTACAGTTGTTCACCTTTGTACTGTACCGGCTCACTCCTTGCTTTGCTGTAAATGATCCACGCACGAGCGCTTAGTCTATGTGGACGGGCAAATGCAAGGTTAAAAAAGGCCGCCAACCTCTTAAAAAGTAGGTATTTTCTTCCTCTTAAAAACCTCTTATTTATAAGAGGTTTTTACAGTACCTCTTAAAGGTACTGTATATCAGTATGGTTTGAATATGTTTGCTTGATGGAAGTGATATAAAAAAATAGAATAAAATTTTAAAGTAATTTACAGTACCTCTTAAAAAGTAGTCATTTCTTCAGCCTTGAAACCTTGAATATAATGAGGGATTTTTATATCTTGTATCTATATCATCCTGTTAAAACTGATAACTGAATTTAGCACAAGTAGTGATCTTCCTGTTTTCCCAGTGTATCAGTACATCCAGGTTAGTTAAAAAATTGTGTAAATAAGCTACAAAAATATGAACAAAAGTTCCTGGTCAAACAAATAAATGACATACAGCCTCCAACTTTTTCAAGGAGTGGGGAAGGGATCGTAACTGCAACCAGTCACCTCTCTTCCCCCTGAAAGTCTTTGCTATCTATAGCATTTAAATCTTTTTGTGTTGTGAGGCAGGCACTAACATGTGGACAAGGCCAGAACCCAGCACGTCAGGCAGCGGTCAGAGCAGACGTACCTCTCTCTGTGCCTGCCTATCTTGTCAGTGTGCTATGCGGCTCTGGACTTAAGTAAGAAAATCTATAAAAGTCTATAAAAGTCAAAGAGAAAATCCACAATTTATCAGTAAAAATCAACTAAACTCAACCATCAATTATTGATAGCTGATTCATAAATCTACAAACGAGTATCTTTTATTTGGTCATCATTTGCAGGATCATTCTGTGGATCATTGTCTACCGTAAAGTCACACGAGCTAGGCTCAATAGTCATCAAGGAAGCGTTAAAGAGAGCTTCAGTCGATCCTGCAGATCTATCTGAAGTTATATTTGGCCAGGTTGGTTTTATGTTTTTACTACCTTTATCTATCTTTTACATACATTCTTCAGAGCCTTGAAACCTTGAATATAATGAGGGATTTTTATATCTTGTATCTATATCATCCTGTTAAAACTGATAATTGAATTTAGCACAAGTAGTGATCTTCCTGTTTTCCCAGTGTATCAGTACATCCAGGTTAGTTAAAAAATTGTGTAAATAAGCTACAAAAATATGAACAAAAGTTCCTGGTCAAACAAATAAATGACATACAGCCTCCAACTTTTTCAAGGAGTGGGGAAGGGATCGTAACTGCAACCAGTCACCTCTCTTCCCCCTGAAAGTCTTTGCTATCTATAGCATTTAAATCTTTTTGTGTTGTGAGGCAGGCACTAACATGTGGACAAGGCCAGAACCCAGCACGTCAGGCAGCGGTCAGAGCAGACGTACCTCTCTCTGTGCCTGCCTATCTTGTCAGTGTGCTATGCGGCTCTGGACTTAAGTAAGTAAAGAGACTTTAATAGATGAGTGAACGAAGTGAACGAATCTATGTATCGTGTATAGCGGAGTCGGAGAAAAGTTGTCCGCTGGAGTATGTGTGTGTGTGTGTGGGTGTGTGTGTTCGCACCTAAAACTCAAGAACCGTTGCACTTATAGCGTTCAAATTTTGCACAAATAATTATGACACCAGTGGGAAGACCTCATTAAAATTCTAGACGATTCCGATCAGTAGTAATTATAAAACCCTTAAAAACATTTTTAAATTTGTCCCATAAGAATAACATTAGGAGCTACCTTCTTCTTCTTTTTATTTGTTTACGTTTTGCAACCAACAATTTTGTTGTCTACTTAAGACAGAGAGAACGATCTTTACTCTAAGCTCTTTTATTCATGGAGTAAACAGTTTGGCGTCTATGTCTATATATCATTATAATTTCACAGCTTTCAATAATAAATTATTGAACTTTAATATATTAGTTGGCATTCATTTGTATACAGTTTATGTGCAGTATTAAAACTCAGCTTGACATCACAAATATGAATACATTTACTATTAAGCAGCTGTTTACATTGTCCAATTTAATCTGTGTCTATTCTATACTAAAACATGCTGTATACACCTATAAAATTATAAATGTTCCCAATTTTAACAAAAGATGTATAGTTATGAATAAATCGCATTAAGTATTTAAGCAAAATCATTGATAAAAAGTTGACGATGCATACAGGATACGAAGTGGCCACCTCACGTTTATCAACCGAGTACGCTATCCACTACACCACGAACAATTTTAAAATCAATGATGACGATACGGTTGTGTTGTTCCTAGATCCCAGTAACTAGCCCGGCAACAATGCTGGCAAACAGTTGAAGAACTTTCCACGATCCCAGTGGCTAACCCGCTTCAACAATTACTGGTACAGCTGTTGTGCATACATCGGTTTTTGTTTGAATGATGCTGTTTGAATGTTGAATTGTAGAGTACTTAATACAATTCAACCATTATCCATAATACAGTTCTATTATCTAGAATACAGAAAAATTCTTCATACAAGAGGTAAGTTAATAATCTTATAATAAATATAACAGTAATACTCTTTATAGCTGTTTGTTTAATAATACAGGTTACTACAAAATTAATAACAATCTGTCCTTTGTGGCATACTACATTACTTAGTGAAATTCCTGCCGATGGATTAGGCTAATCTTTGCGTACACGTTGAAAACAATAATTATTGTTAAATAAGTAACTTACTAGGCCTAGGCCTTTTTAGATCTGAAAGTACAATGTTGATTTTACAACAGCAACTTACATCTTTGTGGCTTTGGTTTAAGTTAGAGGTAAGTTTTTAAGCAATTAAAGACCATAAAATAAGAAAGGACTTAGCATATCTGTGTCCACTTAGATCAAAATGAATAACCAATTAAAATTAACTTAGGCCTATATGCTTCGTGATTTAATTAATAAGTATTAGATGTAGGGATGTCGTTTAACAAAAATACAAGGCCTAGCCTACCACCAATTTATTTAGGCCTATACTGTACTTACTAATCTGTAACACTACACACTATTGCAATAACATTAAACCTTAACTTAGTATAGTCTACAAGTAAGTTGTTAGGTTTCACTGGTTTAAGTTAAATTAGTCTATATAATTTGACGAATCGATTAACTTAAGTAACTTAGCTTATAAAGAAAACCTATTTTAACTTACTTTCATCAGTCTGTTTGGGAAATGATTAAAAAACAAAGTTAATTACAAATAATTCTGTCCATAAAATAAAATTATAAATGCCACAAATTAAAAAAATAGCCTACAGTAAAGAATAAATCACATTCTAAGCTAAAATTCTGTCAAAAAATTAGCGCTGCGAGTGGGTTTCGAACCCATACCTCCAGTTTCACAGCCGAGTACTGTAACCACTACACCACGACCACAGGTCACTGATCGGCTGTATCGTTGCGCTAGTGTTCCATAAAAGAATTACCAGCTGGTTGTACACACACGTTTACTAGCCACCTAAAACTACTATTATATTTTAATTCTATTAGCATTTGACTATAAACAGGATTCTATTAGACAACTGAAGGCAATGAGTTTTTGAGAAAAGCTTTGCCTCCACGTACTGTTATTTAAAATAAAGAATTATTGAGCGAAGCCATTGAATCTTGTATATATTATACTCCCTTTTTTATTTTGTACATAATCCTTGCGGAGGCTAAAGCAAACAGGAAATTTAACACAGTCGTAGTAACTAGCCAAAAGGCTACACGCGACAAAAACTAAAGACTATTTGCGGGTAAGGCATTAATCCAAAATAGTACAAATTGGAATAAAGGGCTTTTCTAAATGTGAATTTAAACTTTTAGAAATTTAATAAGAATCTCAAGGTGTTTGGTCATCATGGCATTATTTTCAATATAGGCCAGCAATAAAAAGGCAAACAATTAAAATATCCGTAACATATGTTTTTTAACAAATCATCTAAACTAGGTAGCATTACAAATACAGAACAAAAGGGCAAACAATCTGATTATAATACCTTGAGCACAATTTACTCAATAATCACAGAGAATTTGGTGAAAATACATTGAAAAAAAAAACATTGACACAAACAAATTGAAAACCTCCTCCGCCTTTTGTTGGTGGGGAAGTCCTTAAAAAGAATAACTAATAGATGAGTGAACGAAGTGAACGAATCTATGTATCGTGTATAGCGGAGTCGGAGAAAAGTTGTCCGCTTGTCTGTGAGTCCGTGAGTCCGTGAGTGTGTTCGCGTCAAATCTCAAGAACCGTTGCACTTATAGCGTTCAAATTTTGCACACATAACTATGACACCAGTGGGAAGAACCCATTAAAATTCTAGACGATTCCGTTCAGTAGTAATTATAAAACCCTAAAAAAACATTTTTAAATTCGTCCCATAAGAATGACATTAGGAGCTACCTTCTTCTTCTTTTTATTTGTTTACGTTTTGCGACCAAAAATTTTGTTGACTACTTAAGACAGAGAGAACGACTTTTACTCTAAGCTATTTCATTCATGGAGTAAACAGTTTGGCGTCTATGAATATATATCATTATAATTTCACAGCTTTCAGAATAATGTTATTTAAGTTAATTAAATTTCACAACTTTCTGAATAATAAATTGAACTTTACAATATTAATCGGCAGTTATATACCGTTTATAATCAGTATTAAAATTCACATTTAAATTAAAAATATATACAGGGTGGCTGAAAAGTAACTACCACCCCCCCTTAACTTTTCAACCATTTGAGATATTTGAAATCCGTTTGCGGCAAACTTCTAAGATGTGAGGGGCTACAATAGTTAGTCGAGTTTGGTATCATTTTATAGGTCTTGACGAAACAAAACAATCGACGTAAAGAAAACTAAAATCGGCCCACTAATAACAAAATGGCACTCTAAAACAATTTAAATCTACAGAACCATGAGGAGGGCTTAAAGTAACTTGCACCCCCCCCCCCCTTAACTTTTCAACCATTTGAGATATTTGAAATCTGTTTGCGGCAAACTTCTAAGATGTGAGGGGCTACAATAGTTATGGTAAATTTTGAAAATTTTACCCTTAGGGGTAGCGGAGGTAGGGGGTAGCTCAAAATTTTCAAATAGCAAGTATAGTCGAGTTTGGTATCGTTTTATAGGTCTTGACAAAACAAAACAAACGACGTAAAGAAAACTAAAATCGGCCCACTAATAACAAAATGGCGCCCAAAAACAATTCAAATCCAATCATCCATGATAATGAAAATTTTCGTTAAAAAGTCTTTTAAGAAATGGTAGAAAAAATTACCTTTTATTTGATGAGATGCTCGAATTGCTTTCCCTGTACCTCCATGCAGTAGTACAATCTCTGTTGAAACATGTTCCTTACATTTTGGAAAGTTTGATTGTTTATTTTTCTGCATTCTGTTTCTATCCGTAGTCTTAATTCTTCGAGGGACCTTGGCTGTGAGGTATAAACCGTTGACTTTAAATGGCCCCATAGAAAAAAATCTAATGGATTTAGGTCCAGTGATCGGGCTGGCCATTCAATACTACCTCTTCGACCAATCCAATGATTAGGAAATTCAATGTTCAGTGTATCCCTTGCATCCCTAGCATAATGTGGAGGAGCTCCATCTTGTTGAAAATACACGTTATCTCTATTGAAAATTGGGTTTCCATCTGGTGTTGCAGTTGTTTCTATTAAGTTGTTAATAGCTGGAATTATTTGTGTGATTAGCATGTTATTGTATGCTGTGCCATTTAAATTACCATTTATGATAAAAGGACCTATGATGAAGTTACCAATGATTCCAGCCCAAACGTTTAGCCTCTGCGGGTGTTGAGTGTGACTTTCTCGGTACCAGTGGGGGTTCTCTTGCGCCCAATACCTACAGTTATGCCGGTTAATGTGTCCGTTAAGTTGGAATGAAGCCTCGTCACTAAAAACTATTTCGAAAGTAGAGATTTCTCTAGACTCCAACTTCTGTGTCATTAATTCACAAAATTCAATTCTTCTATCAAAGTCATCTTCAGACAGTTCCTGGACTAACGTGATCTTATATGGATGGAATTTGTGGTTTTTTAAAACTTTGTTCACTGCCCACCTACTTATATTATGTTGTTGCGCAACTCTTCTTGCAGATTTGTGAGGATTAACAGAAAACTCTGCTAAAACTCCTGCTTCTGTTAATTCACCTGTGCTGGGCCGACCGGATCTGGGCTCATCCACAACACTCCCTGTACGATGAAACTTTTGTACTAGAATAGACACAGCTTTTCTAGTGATTTGATGTTCAGGATGCCTTTCGTTAAAGGCGTCAGTTGCTCCACTGTAAGTGCCAGTTTGCCCAAACAGTAAAACAATTTGCACTCTTTCTTCTAACGAAAAAACCATGACAAATAACAAACCAACATACAACAATCAAAAAGTAGCAATAGTGTAGGCCTGCAGTTTGGTTATGTACGATATGGGCAGTTTTCAGTACTGTACTACTGAACTTTCACCTAGAGAAAGAATTCGACAAACAAACAAAAAAGGAAAATGGACAGGAATAACTGATAACAGCAATTATGGAGTTTGGGATTTTCCAGACACTGTTTACTGACCACGCATCTTATTAGCAATGATCCGAAATAGAAAAAAACTTTGGCTGGATACAAATTGAAAGTAAATTAAAATTAGCCTTTTTTACCACCAAATTGCAATTTTCTGATAAGGATGTAATTTATTAAAAGTATTTTTTAGCTGCCATTTCGTTATTATTTGGCCGATTTTAGTTTTCTTTACGTCGATTGTTTTGTTATGTCAAGACCTATAAAACGATACCAAACTCGACTATACTTGCTATTTGAAAATTTTGAGCTACCCCCTACCCCCGCTACCCCTAAGGGTAAAATTTTCAAAATTTACCATAACTATTGTAGCCCCTCACATCTTAGAAGTTTGCCGCAAATAGATTTCAAATATCTCAAATGGTTGAAAAGTTAAGGGGGGGGTGCAAGTTACTTTTCAGCCCTCCTCATGGTTCTGTAGATTTAAATTGTTTTAGAGCGCCATTTTGTTATTAGTGGGCCGATTTTAGTTTTCTTTACGTCGATTGTATTGTTTCGTCAAGACCTATAAAATGATACCAAACTCGACTATACTTGCCATTTGAAAATTTTGAGCTACCCCCTACCCCCGCACCCCTAAGGGTAAAATTTTCAAAATTTACCATAACTATTGTAGCCCCTCACATCTTAGAAGTTTGCCGCAAACGGATTTCAAATATCTCAAATGGTTGAAAAGTTAAGGGGGGGTGGTAGTTACTTTTCAGCCACCCTGTATGTTTATATTTAGAACAAAGCAGCTTTTTACATTATTCAATTTAATGTTGGCATTGAATATTAAATATTCAAAGATGTTAGTAATACTAAAATGCTATGCGAAGGGGGGGGGGGGGGAAACAGGTCCACGACGTAGATAGTGGTAAAGGAAGCGGAAAAGTGAGCAGTGCGGAGTGTGGAAATCCTTTGTGACTGTTAAATTAATATATCTGTAATAGGTACTTAAATGCTATGGAAAGAGAGGGAAACAGGTCTACGATGTAGGGAGTAGTCATGGCGAGCGCTCCGGAGTGTGGAAAGCCTATGTGACAGTTAGAATAATGTATCTACAATTCTAAAAACGCAATGGGAAGGGAGAGAAACAGGTCCACGACGTAGGAAGTGGTGAAGGAAGTAGTCAAGGCGAGTAGTCCGGAGTGTGGGAACCCTTTGTGACAGTTAGATTAATGTATCTGCAATAATAAAATGCTAAAGGAAGGGAGGGAAACAGGTCCACGACGTAGGAAGTGGTGAAGGAAGTAGTCAAGGCGAGCAGTCCAGAGTGTGGGGACCATTTGTGACAGTTAGGTTAATGTACCTGCAATACTAAAATGCTAAAGGAAGGGAGGGAAACATGTCCACGACGTAGGAAGTGGTGATGGGCGTAGTTGAGGCGAGCAGTCCGGAGTGTGGGAACCCTTTGTGACAGATAGATTAATGGATCTGCAATAATAAAATTCTAAAGGAAGGGAGGGAAACAGGTCCACGACGTAGGAAGTGGTGAAGGAAGTAGTCAAGGCGAGCAGTCCAGAGTGTGGGGACCATTTGTGACAGTTAGGTTAATGTACCTGCAATACTAAAATGCTATAGGAAGGGAGGGAAACATGTCCACGACGTAGGAAGTGGTGATGGGCGTAGTTGAGGCGAGCAGTCCGGAGTGTGGGAACCCTTTGTGACAGATAGATTAATGGATCTGCAATAATAAAATTCTAAAGGAAGGGAGGGAAACAGGTCCACGACGTAGGAAGTGGTGAAGGAAGTAGTCAAGGCGAGCAGTCCAGAGTGTGGGGACCATTTGTGACAGTTAGGTTAATGTACCTGCAATACTAAAATGCTATAGGAAGGGAGGGAAACATGTCCACGACGTAGGAAGTGGTGATGGGCGTAGTTGAGGCGAGCAGTCCGGAGTGTGGGAACCCTTTGTGACAGATAGATTAATGGATCTGCAATAGTAAAATGCTAAAGGAAGGGAGGGAAACCGGTCCACGACGTAGGAAGTGGTGAAGGAAGTAGTCAAGGCGAGCAGTTCGGAGTGTGGGAACCCTTTGTGACAGTTAGGTTAATGTACCTGCAATAATAAAATGCTAAGGGAAGGGAGGGAAACATGTCCACGACGTAGGAAGTGGTGAAGGAAGTAGTCAAGGCCATTAGTCCGGAGGGTGGGAACCCTTTGTGACAGATAGATTAATGGATCTGAAATAATAAAATGCTAAAGGAATGGAGGGAAACAGGTCCACGACGTAGGAAGTGGTGAAGGAAGTAGTTGAGGCGAACATTCAGGAGTGTAGAAACCCTTCATTAGTTATATAAACATACAGTATATTGGATTTTTAATCATTTTTAGATTAAATAATTACGATGTTGTTGTTTTAAATCATCATTGTAAGCCATACGATATTTTTATGAGATTCCTTACACCATGCCTTGGCAATTAGGTTAAGTTAGATTAGTTCAGTTTGGCTTAGTTTTGTTTATGATAGGCCTCATAACTAATATGGAAATAGGCTTTATTTAATCAAAAGACATTTTGTACAGGAACGATGGATTTACCTCCTGTCGATAAGTGTTGGAAATCCATTACGTATATTACCAATGACTGGTTAATTAATGGGTAGAAGTTAGGATTGTTGTTTACTAAGATTTGGTTGATTTGCCCATACAAATAACATTGTGTCACCAGTGACACCGGTAAGTAGGCTAGGTGTGGGTGGACTCTTTCATTACTGCGCTCATGTTCACTCATCCCGTTACGCGCAGAATAAGCGTACTACTAGTTTATGTACATGGCTTAAATAATTTAGAAATCAAATGTAACCGTCTAACCAGTAGACATTTATATAGTGACTAGCTGACCCGGCGAACTTCGTATCGCCTAAGTTATAGGTTTCCCCTAAGACAGACCGATGGAAAGAAAGTACCGTTACGTTTAATTTTCAAGATGATCTCGTTCGCATCGCTCAATCACGTCCTGGTTGAAGTTCGTTCGCTACGCTCACTCACCTTTGGGTTGAAGTTCGTTCGCTACGCTCACTCACCTTTGGGTTGGAGCTCGTTCGCTACGCTCACTCACCTTTAGGTTGGAGCTCGTTCGCTGCGCTCACTTGCCTTCAGGTTAGCTCGTTCGCTACGCTCACTCGCCTCCAGGTTGAAGTTCGTTCGCTACGCTCACTCACCTTTTGGTTGCAAATTGGCTGTTGTCATAAATGTAAAAGAAATAATAGTGCTGCACCCTGTTGGTAATCCTTGTAACTTTAATGCTATTGAACATCATAGAACAGAACCAACTTGTTTAAATGAAACAGCTGTTAAAATTCATTAATTCCATTTCTCATAAGGTTAACATGGGAAACTCCAGAGCCACTGGGGCGGAGCCCTTTTAAGAATTTCGAAACGGGAAATAGTTTACGTCCGATTCGCATACCTACAGAATTTACACACCAAATTTCATAACGATCGGTGAAGTCGTTCCGGAGGAGTTTGCAGACAAACACTGTGACACGAGAATTTTATATATTAGATTTAGATACCTATCATCATACTTAAGATGCAGAAATGGACATTTCTAGTGATCTGAAATACTTATATTTTCACGTCACTGTTGCTCTAAAATCAGGAACTAGATGAAAATAAGTTTGATTCAGAACAAAATTGATTAAAAAAATTTACAGAATTTTGTTATAACTTATTAACTTATACAAGGAAGAGGAAAATTCCCCACAAGGTCTGCAAGTATAGCCAGAAAGATACTGTCTGATGATATTGTACGGTTAGCTAAGTGGTTTAGTGGTTATAATGCTGACCTTCAAATCTGAATATTGCTGGTTCAATCTAGCGAGGTTTGATTCTGGAACCACATGCAATTAGTCATTGAGCTATCATAATAATGCCATATAGGTTAAGAATAAGATATTAGTCAGTTCACTTACAATAAATATGATAAATGCCTAAAGAAAGCAAAATAAAAAATATTTTACTGTATGAGGAGGATCATGACTGGAATCCCCACACATCTTGAATAACACAAGGAGTATTTCTAGATAATGTTCTACACAGGTCGGTTGTCGTGGGATGTCGTAATATATTGGCTGGTGATGCCAAAGTGGTGCTCTGCGGGGGCATGGAGACTATGTCTGGGGCCCCACACTTTACACACCTGCGTGCGGGGGTCAAGTTGGGGGCGGCCACTCTCACTGATCATATCCTCAATGATGGACTCACTGATGCCTTCCACAATATACACATGGGCGAGACTGGTGAGAAATATATGTTTAGTTGCAGTGTACAAGTTATTATTTCATGTTTAAATTGATGAATGACAATTTATTTCCAAAATCAAATTAGAATCATGTATGGATTGTGTCTACTATCATAACCTTGCATTGAATTTAAAAAAAAACTTCCTAAAAATCTTGAAAGTGCCCGCTAACTGTCATAAAATAAAAATGGCTTTAGAGATCCAATTGAGCAAATATTTCACTAAAAATACATAACAGTAAATCATGTGACTTTTCATAACCTACGATTATGAATCAAATGAATCTAAAAATTTCATTTGCATGTGTCGTAGCCAATTTTAGAATGAAAATGAGCGCAATTGTAACTCGGCCATTGATTAACAGAGTGTACTGAAATTACTATTACTGATTTCTGACAAATACGGGGCGGTCCGTAACGTAAGTTAACTTTTTAATCAAACTGAAAAGGTCTTTTACTATATCCATCTTTTACTATCCATAGTCAATGGTAACATTCACAACATCAGTTAACACAGTCACAATGACAAACCAGAGCCTTCTAGAATTCTTTGTTCTAGCTGAGAATTTAGCAGTCATGTACAACATATCAAGAGAAGAACAAGATAAGCAAGCTCTAGAATCCCAACAGAGGGCTGCCAAAGCTTTGAAAGAAGGACATTTCACTGATGAAGTTGTTCCTGTCACAATTAAAACATCAAAAGGGGAACAAGTTTTGTTGGAGGACGAGTATCCAAAGCCCAATACCACTCTTGAGTCATTGGCCAAACTTGAACCGGTTTTTGTCAAGGTAACCTCTGCTCACTTAACACGAGCTAGCTAAAAAGTTTACAAGATAAATTCATTTGTTTGCATGTATTCTCTTGGCCTCCAAAATAACTTCACGCATATGGCTTCCTAAAAATGCTTAGTACATTTTAGTAAATGCCCAATACAAATGTTTAATCCGTTTAATCCTACAAAAACTTTAGTATGAAAAGCTCACTGTTTTGTGGATGGTCTCAGAAGATGCAAAAACACTATGTCTTGGGAAATCATATACATTGCAATATTATAATATAACTAAAAAGGTTTCAATCATTTTAGCCTCTGGATTGCTTATATATAATCAATTGATAATGTAAACTCTTACCTTAGCAATCCTTACTGTGGTTATCCGATATTAATTTCGGACCCGTAGGTCAGTAGGTCCATCTTCAGTCGGATTCTAGGGAGAACAAATTAATAATCTACTTATAAATCCTACTTATAGGATCCACGTGTTTCCTGACTAAAGTGAGGCTATCCCATTTTTTGAAAACCATGGTTTTTACCCCTAATCTTTGTGTAGTATTCATGTCGACTGTAATTTGTATCGTTTTAAGTGTCAACATACTTTCTACAAAACCCATTGGGTGGATCCTATTATAAGTATTTGGTCTCCCTAGATTTTCGACTGAAGATGGACATACGGGTCCAAAATTAATATTGGATAACCACAATAAGGATTGCTAAGGTAAGAGCTTACATTATCAATTGATGAAAAAGGTTTCTTAGGATATAAAGCAAATTAATTTGCAAATGCACTAAAAACTTTTAGCCATTTTTTCAAATCATTTGATATCATACAATGCATGATCATTGAGCACTATATAAATACTGACTGTCACTGTGATGTACAGGGGGGGACAGTGACAGCTGGTAATGCGTCGGGAATGAACGATGCAGCAGCTGCTGTGGTTCTGATGTCTGCTGAGGAAGCTGGTGTACGAGGATTGGCACCCCTGGCTCGTGTTGTGGCATACAGTGAGGCTGGCTGCAACCCTAAGATCATGGGCATCGGGGTAGTTCCTGCTGTCAAAATGGTGGTATGTGCGAGATACTTTATATTTACTAGCTATTTATAAACATATGATTGATTAAACACTTCTTCAACATGAATTTTTACTTAACTCAGTCCACAGACAAGGCCTATGTAGACTTTTTCCTTTGCGTTTTTGTTGCTGGTAGGGTCTGTTCTTGGTTTTAACTATAAAATTTTGTTTTTCAGTGGGTTTAAAAGCATGAACATACTATTTTAGTTTCTCCATGTAGGCCTTTATAGAAAATTAAAAGATAAATTTTTTTCCTAATATAGAGCACTATCTCTCCCTCCTCTTCAACACCATAGTAATATTCCCCCGTTTGAATCTTTGAATGTTCTAGTTACGTCTATGACTAAAAATAATAAAATCAAATATTGATTTGAAATTACTTAAGTACCGGTACTGTATTGTTAAAAGTATAACAAAATCTATATAAATAAAAATGAATCCTTTTTTTGATATTCCATAACTCGAGTACAAGTGCGAATTGGATGATTCTTTTTTGTTGTGTTCCTTAGTGCCAGGGGAAAGTTTTTATGTAAGGCTATCCATAAGCTGTAAAAAATAAACTTTTGAAATCACCTAAATGCTCTGTTTCTTACTTTTTTAGGAAACTGTTGGATATTTGATTAAATATTATAATATTGTTTGGTTGTATACAGTAAAATAAAATTAGAAAACAAAATTACATTTTTGAATTATTATTATAACTAGTAAACCACCCAATTGTCAACTACATTTTTCAAGCCACTAAGTCAAAGGATAAAATAATAGAATTTAAACTTAATTAAGAATGATTATCATATACAAAAACAAATTTGTTACTGATGATGGATTTAAATTGTAATATTTCATGTTAATTGTTAGCTAGAGAAAGCAGGTTGGACAAAGGACGATGTGGATGTTTACGAACTCAATGAAGCATTTGCAGCTCAAGCTCTGGCCGTTGTGAGAGAGCTAGGAGTAGATCCGGCCAAGGTAAACATCAATGGAGGAGCCATAGCCCTGGGCCATCCCATCGGAGCTTCGGGTATGTACACAATCAAACTCATCTACATACATTTATGTTGTACCTTGGAATAACACTATTGACTTTTGGGTACTGAAAAAAATAGAAAGTATCAGCAATCTTAGTACCAGCAGTAAGTACAATCAGATTTTGTAAAAATTAAATTTCCCGACTATTTGATGGGTTTTTTTTATGGGAAAATCATAATTAAAAATCCAAATGGAATCCAAAATCTGGAGAGACCTGATTTCATCTAAATCGGACGTCATGGTCCTTAGCTCTGTACATATCCACACATAGACAGACATCACTTTGAAAACCACTTTTTGGGTTTAGGGAGACCCAAAACAAATATATCCACCCAAAACTCAAACTCAAAATCTTGACGAAAACCATACACAACTTTTTTATATACTATGTATAGGTGGAGATAATAAAAATACCTTTTTTTATATTTTACTCAGCGTGTCTCTTTTTTATATTATTTTTTTTATTGAGAGCAAGGTAAAATTACACATGCTCTCAGTCCTTGAGGGTAGTGTAGAACTCACTAGGCAAAAACATCCTAAAAGTTATGAGCATACCAACAATAAGCCCCTCCCCTCCATTCAGTAAGTGGGAGAGCGATCACATCATTTGGCGGAAAGCTAGCAAGTCTCATATTTCCAGAACAAGTATTTTCAACTATTCTTATACCATATTTAGTCATTATTGTTACATATTTTGTATTCATTTATAAACATTTTGTGGGTCCAAAATAAAAACAACTTTTTCCTCCCAAACTGAAATATTCAGTAGGTAATTCAAGCCCAAACTTACACCATAGAATGTCCTACAGAGAATATTAAAGAGACTGCTGGTACATCTGTCGTATGCTCTGTAATTATGTAATAAAGTAATATTCAAAATGGTGGGGGTTCCAAGGTGGATCAAAAGATTCTAGGCTTATATTGGGCTGGTTTCTTCTAAAGTACACTAATTAATATTTAAATAGGCTATGAGCTCTTAATCCAGGGAGGGGTGGTCGTGCCGGTTCGAATGATATATTAGGCTTCTTTAAAATGCAAATAATTTAATTTAGTTATTGTTCTGAAATAAGTTAAGCTAGGTTCATGATGCTATTAATATAGGCTAATAATGTTAATGTCCAAAGAAAGATTCCAAATGGTTTCACTGAATTTAATGAAATAAAATAGAATTTGAAGATTAAATTTTGAATAAAAGTTCAATTTGAAATATGTATATCTTGATGAGTTGAGTTTTTGGGCCTAGTAGGCTGTACTGATTAAATGTCCAATGAAGATTAAATTTGTCCTTAGTTAAATAAGATGGATGATGGTTACCAAATTTGGAGTGTCTGTCTTCTTATAGCCTAAATTGGTACTCTTCAATGCACTTGTCCAATACTTTTGGATGATGAGAAATTTAAAATATAGGTTTTACTTTGGGATTATAAATTTTAGTTTAAATCAAACACAATTTCCAATAGAATGATGTTCACACTGTGAAGAGTTGGCAGGATCTGGGGAGAGGCAATGGTAGAAGCTCAGGAAGTCCATGTCCATTGTTGCAATGATGCACAGCTGGTGAAATTTACATGAATGACACTTGCCACAGTAATTTTGATTTTCTTTGGATAATTTTGAAAAATAATACTATATTTAAGATGTTATTACTATATTGCAATTTTCTTACAATTATATATTATTCTAAATAAATGATTATTGTTGGTTTTTGATGAGTACTTAATAGGTATGGAGAGAATTTGCATAAATATTATATTGTAACATAAAATAGGATGATGTTTCTGTGGGGTGATGGGATATTATATAACATTGAACAAAATTTGATAAAATAACACATTAACAAGGAGAAACATATTAAATAACTGATAATACATTATCAGGGGCATTAACAGACATTATGAGAGAAAATATACAAAATAATAGAGAAATTAATGTTAATGATGAATGAATGACATATAATATTACAAATTATCCCCACAGAAATCTGTATGCTATGAAATGAAATACAGATTTCGACAAAATATGAAATGGAATCATGAATCATTAATATGAATGATACTTACAGATAGGTATGAATAACATTAAATGATTGATTTTCTGGATGATAGAACATTGGGTGATAATACAATAAAATTATAATATAAATTAACAAATGTGTAGGACAATAACATTAAAAGGGGGAAAATAGAATAGAGTGTTCATGGCCTGGCATGGGAAGAAAGGGATATTATGGCTGTTGTTCCATACTGTTCAATACCAAATAACTTTATTGTTTCTTTGTTATTAAGGAGATCACAGTTTATTAGTAAGTGAGTATTGTTTATAAACTTTATCACCTGGGTATCAGTTTATGGAAAACACAATTTATGGGGTCACGCACTCGCGATTAAGGTCCATGGCACAATTTGGTTAGAGATGATGATGCACAAAAGTCTGTTGATGGATGAAACACATTATGAAATTTATTGATATAGAATGTCTTCGAGGGTAGGGTCATCATTATCTATCTCGTCGATCACAGCTTCTATTGCTCGGGTTGGTTCCAAATATTTCTTGAGGGCTGATATATGGTAGGGGCCGTATAAAACATCTTCATCTTCTTTGGTCACGTGGAATGTGGATTTTCCTAAGATTTTCTTTATAATAAAAGGTCCTTCGTATATTTCGAATAATTTCGCTGTCTCGCCGTATATAGCTCTAGAGAGGTGGTGAGATCGGATTAAAACTTTATCATTGATCTTGAGGGTTTGAGGTTTTCGATTTTCATTTAGTTTGGACGATCGTTTCAGGCGTTTTTCTTCAAGTCTTCGTTTTGCTAGGAGTAACTTTTGTTCAATGGGAGTATCACTATTGAATGTGTTTTCAGCTAAATAGTGGTCCCAAAACCGTTGGTCTTTGATTCCTAACTGAAGTTCATTAGGTGTATATCCTGTGGATTCATGATAGGAATCGCGCCACTCATCCTACACTCATCCTTCACTCATATTTGGGTTAAAATACGCACATAGTGGCGTCCCCATCTTAAATAATTGATAATTGATAATTGATAATTGATAATTGGTATTTTCGCTTTCTAAAGGAACATATGATTATAACACTGTTAGTGTTAAATTTCCTTTTAGCGAATTTCCCATATAGGGAATAAGCTATTACCGTAGTACTCATGGTAAGACCTGGACCCGGGACCGATTTTTTTTTTCGTTTTGAGGTCCCTAGAGGCCAAAAACACCATCCGTTCAAATTCATATAGGTACAGTATATATATATATTTATATATATATATATGTGTCCGTTAGCGCGATAACTCGAGCAAAAATGATCCGATTTTGATGAAATTTGGTACAAACGTGTAAACCTACGTTTATTCTAACGAGTTCGCGAATCAGCATGATCGGACCACGGGAACGGGGGTTTATGGGGGCTTTTATGGGGTAAAAATGGGTTTTTCCCATTTTTGACCCAAAAAACATAAAATTTTGCAATTTCTTTCTAAACTATTTTGTAGAGCTTAAAAAAACAAATAATTTAGTATATTGAAGCCGTTATAATGCGCCTAATGGTTACGGAGAAAATTCCAAAAAATTGTAAATTTAAAATTCCCATGTTATTCTTATGGAGAATAAGTAAACTGTTGTAGTTTGCTTGTTTATTAACATATTTTGCCCAAATTTGGAAAATGTTTTTATGTCAACGATACTAACTATTAACTACTAACTATTAAGATTTTACATAAAAAAACCCTTTTACCCTCCTTGTTGCAGCAAACCAATGTTTTAAACTGATTCTATTTAAATAGGGAATAAATGTGATATTTTTAAGGAGACATTTTAGTGAAAATCCATTCAAGGAAATGGAAATTCGCTTAGTCTGCAGGTTTGCTGCGGCGGGGGTATTTTATATCTAACTTAGGTATATTTTTTTGGCTTCCACAGGTACCAGAGTGCTGGTAACACTGCTGTATGCTCTTCGCCGCTCCGGTGGTAAACGTGGGGTCTGCTCTTTATGTGTGGGAGGAGGAATGGGCATAGCAATGGCGGTTGAAATCATCTGAACAATAATACTTTCATGCCTCATTAAGTGTCAAACATAAGGCTTTAACGGCTTATTGTTTTTTGTATTTATGTATACACATATTGTGTGAAGAATTGTGAGCTAAACAAATTACTCGCTTGAATAAATAAATTCTTAAAAATTATTATCATTTTTTTGACTTTATCTAATTTACAATCCGTTCAAAAGTTGAACAATAAGCAAATAATATTAATAACAATAAAACATTAACTTGAAGAACATGAGCCATATGAATCCAAGATTCATATGGTGTGTTATTGACCACTTTCAACACTAACTAATAAAGAGAATTTCGACAACACTTAGACAAATCTGAATGGGAGGTCCAAAATCGAATGTCGCTTCAGTCTGTAAATGGTGTTGTGATTGTCCAATAGATTTAGTGCAAGATGATTTGATTGATTTTTCAATTTGATATTGAAATCCTCACAAGATTTTGTAACTGCTTCCTTGACTGTTTGAATTCTAAGATCATCATAAAGTGTTCGGTTGGTAACAAACCAAGGTGTGTTGATAATTTTACGTAGAAATTTTGATTGGTAACGTTAAATAGTTTCAATGTTTGAGTTGCTTGCTGATCCTCAAAGCTGAATCCCATAAGTTGTTTAGAACTGTCCCATTGGTTTTAGAACTGTTTTGTACAACAACAATTTATTTTGTGTACTAAGTTTTGATTTAGATCCAAGAAGCCAATTCAGTTTAGTTGTTTTTAAATTTGGATGTTGTCTTTTAGTCCAGATATGTGCCTTCCAATTAAGCTTTGCATCTAAGTGCATGCCCAAGTATTTTATTTCTGTTTTTTAGGGAGGTGAATATTGTTCATGGGTACTGGAGGACATGTAGCCATATTTAGGGTAAAAGTAATGTGTGCTGATTTATTTTAATTAATTTTGAACCTCCATTTTTTCATCCAAGTTTAACTGTAAATTTGTTGTAGCTTGAGCGGGATCATTGTGCACAGGTAAAATGTCCGCATCATCCGCAAATGTGGCACCATAGTGTTGACACTCTCTGGTAGGCCCGATGTATAGATAATATACAAGTACGGTCCAAGTACGCTACCTTGGGAATTCCTGATTCTATGAGGTAAAGATCAGTTAAGTAATTTTGATGTTTAGTTTGGAAAATTCTATTTGTAAGATATGATTTTAAAATAGAAAAAACTGAATTTGTTAGTAACTTCTTAATTTTGAATAGTAAGCCAGAATGCCATACTTTGTCAAAGGCCTGACTGGCATCAAGGAAAGCAGGCGTACGAAATCTTTTGTTTTCCAAATATTTCTAATCGTATGAACAACCTTACATGGACTTGTCCTTAATTTCTGAAGGTTTGAAATTTTCCAGAGAAAGTTGAAGTGGAGAGTCCAAGAACTCTAATATTTCTTCTTCATTATTAACCATAGCTACATTTTGCTTGAATACGTTGGAAAAGTATTCCCCGAAAGCTTCAGACTTTTCTATGCCACTGGCATGATTTTTGTTTAAACACAAAACTATTTTCTATTTTTATGATTTTTTGTAAATGGCTTAAACTTTTCATACAAAGGTTATTGACATCTAATAACACTTTTGTGCCTTTACCTTTTGCACCACACCCAAGTAGTACTAGTGCAATAGGGTGCATTTGTCACTGATAACAAATTGTAATTTTTGTTGCATGGATATGCACTATGCAGTTTTGCAATAAAATTAAATAGGTAAGTGAAAAAAATTTAGAATTTGTTCGAGGTAATTTGTTATACGCCTCTTAGTATGGCAGTGAATTGAAGTACTGTACTTGTCAACTAAATTTATCCGGCTCTTATTGTGTTTTGTTTTATAATTATATAGTACAAGTACATAAATGTAATATTAATGTACCTACTATCAGACTGGGACGGGTGGCGTCGTCCTGTAATCCAGCTACTAGGAGGTCATGAATTGTGGATATTTATAGGGATGCACTATGGATGCGATGCTCCCTGGTGTGGATTAACGTCTGCACTAGTGAGTACTACGACTATCCGCAGTACTATCCTGATAATTAGACCAATTCGTAAATTACAATGAAAAATGTGGTTCGGATTCCACTATAAACTGTAGGTCCCTTAGTTGCCATTAGCTGTATGGGCTATTAATTAACAGCTGTGTCTAAGGAATATGTCGGCCTTAGTCACTAACAAGACTACAAGATCGCGCCACTCATCGTACACTCATCCTTCACTCATATTTGGGTTAAAATACGCACATAGTGGCGTCCCCATCTTAAATAAATGATTAAATGATATCAAGTTACTATGATTTAACAATATACTGTACTGAGTTTTAATTTTGAAAAAAAAATCTTTCAAGAATTAATTTCTGACAGAAAACCTTTTAATATCTTAGTCACACACAAATTTTAAACATTTTTAAATTCAAAATTTGTAGAAGGTAGTGTTCTGATTAGGTTGGAATAGAGAAGTTTATTCTGATGTAAATATTTGAATACTCTAGCCACAAAACATTGTTATACCTTAAATAATGTAAGTGTTAGTACAGTTTTTTGGAAATTCTCTGGTATAAACTAAAACGCTAATCACAATATTATTTAAAAAGCAGCTTAATAAAAAATATTTAATTGCTAAATAAGAAACATTACATTGCTGGTTAGTTTACAGTTTCCTAAATTAAGTTTCACCTAAGTTCAGTCTTTTTTCGATAAAGAGTTAACAGTCATTCAAAAAAATGTTATCTCATTTCTTTCGTGGTTCTAGGTTCACGAAGAGTCCATTCACAGGTTTTAAAGTCAACTCGTATAACCTCAGTTGAATATCCTTCACAGCCTTAATTTTGAAGTTTCTAATCACATTGGCAACCACAATCTTCAACTCCATCATGGCAAACCTTTGGCCTAGAAAAGCATTTATAAATCGTTCAGTAAAATTGTATAAATAATAATTGTGCTTAATCAAAGTAATTATCTATTTTGTATGTTTATGTGCTGATATGTAAAAACATTATAGAGAGTCTAGATTGTTTCAAAAGTATAGTAATTCTATCTCTACTATCATATTCATTGAATGAATGAATGAATGAATGAATAAAGTGCTTTATTTTAACATAAACATTCCTCTCATAACATAAGCATACACTTAATTAAACAATGGTCTACGACCGTCTGTTTGGTTGGCACACCTGGAAAACACATTTATGAAAATTAAGTTGAAACAAAATACACTTACTAACGTACACAAATTTACATACAATTTAACATCCATTTTCAACAAAACTAAAAAAAATACCTTTTTCATAATATTGTTTACATAACTTTTATTATTTTATTTTTAAAATTATTAGAATTTAAAAGGTTTACGCATGATAAAAACTATAAAAATTACTATGAATATTTAAGAAGACAAGTTGTTTGACATAATTATTGTTTTGAATTAATTTATAAATTAGAAAGATAAAAAACAATTTTGAATTAGAAAAAAAAAAAAAAATTAATTTATTCGTAATTAAATTCTCTAATTAACTCCCACCTCCTTCTCCACGCCTCCCTCATAAAGTTTGCTAATTTACGCCAATCCCTACCATTTATGTATTCTATGTGTTCTTCCCAATGCATGCTTCGTTTTCCAAACCAATATTCCCTGATATCACCTAAAATTGGGCAAATAGAAACAAAATGAAAAACTGTTTCAAATTCACGCAAATTGCACAAACTACAGAAATGATTTTTATTCGTTATCCATGGTTTGTGATTCAAATCAACCAGCTCTGCTCAGGCCTTAATGACCCATGAGATAAGACTTATATTGATGCTATCAGTGAGAAAACTCCTGGGCCCTAGGTCAAGGTCAACGGCAAGCAGTTGTTGGTGATATTGCGATGTACGCGCTCTGCCAACCATATCAATTCTCCAGCTATCTCTTTCCGCCTCAATTATCTTCACTAATCCCTCAAAAACATCTGCTGACTCGAAATTAATATCCAAACCGTGTTTTCGCCCTAGACATTTCCACTCTTTGGCCCAAAAAATACCTTTTCCAATTACAGATTTAGCAATAATTTTTGGTAGGCGTGATTCTGGCATATTAAAAACCTTAAAAATGTATGTTGCGTTAATTTGTAGATTAAAGAAATACAACTTTTCAAAACATGTTTCTAAGTAAACAATATAGTTGGGAGTGTTATGTGGCAATCTAAAAATCCTTTTAATAAACGTTTTCTGAGCATTTTCTAACTGAGAAATTTCTGAAAACCCCCAAACTTGTGCGCCGTAACACAAAATAGCTCTGAGAATAGATTCGAAGCATAATATTTTAATCTGCAGCGGGACTTTGTTGTTGTCTACTAGCCTTTGCCATACTGAATTAATTGCATAATTAGTTAGCCTCCTCTTCTCTATGAAATGTTTTTCCCATGACAATGTCGTTGTAAATAAGATTCCCAAATATTTATAACTATCTACCACTTCAACCTGTTTGCCCTTATACCACCATCTATCATGTCCCGATAATCTACCACCTTTCCTGAAAACCATTATTTTGGATTTGGATATATTTACTGTAAGGTTCCAAATTGAACTGTAACACTCCAAGTTTTTAATCATCATTTGTAATGCTGTTGCTGTGGGGGCCAACAATACGATGTCGTCTGCATACATCAAAACATTTACTCTCTTTCCACCGAAATTACAGCCACCTTCCAGCACCTCTGGCAAATCATTTACGAATAAGCTGAACAGGAGAGGACTTCCTATACATCCTTGTCTTAAACCTGTCTTTGTCTCAAACTCATCTGAAATGCCGCCCTTACACCAAACCGCTGCAGATGTGTTACAATAATAACTCCTCAAAACATCTAAAACGTGCGTTGATACGCCGATTGATGAAAGTTTTAACATAAGCGATCGTCTATCAATAGTGTCAAACGCACTTGAAAAATCCACAAAAAATGCATACAACTTGCCACCTTTCTCCGCTAAACGTAGTTTGATCATCGAAGCCAAATTAAAAATATTATCTATAGTGGAATAGTTTTGTCTGAAACCCGCCTGGAACTCCGAAAGATGTGGTTTTCATTGACCCAATTTGTAAGTCTATTATTTAGCATTCCTATAAATATTTTACCAATACAATTTATAAAAGACAATCCTCTATAATTTTGAACTGAATTAATATCACCCTTTTTAAACAATGGAAAAACTATCGATTTCTTAAAGCTTTCAGGTATGACCTTATTCCGAAAAATGTCATTATAAATACTAAGTAGTTTAGTCAAAAATAGGTCTGGGGCATTCTTATAAAACTCATATGGGACTCTATCTAGGCCCGGTGCTTTATTATTTTTCAAACTGGACAAAACAACTTTTAATTCTAGGAAATCAAAGTCTTTATCAAGATAATCATCGGCAATAAAAGGTTCTGCAAACGAGATAGTACTCTCCACCAGAGGATTTAGTAAAGTGTGTAACCCATTCTTCAGGTTTTATATTTCCTACTCGGTTTATGTTATTTTTACACTTAAACGAGTTTATTGCTCGCCAACGCGTTTTGGAATCTTTAGACACAGTAAGAGTTGAGATTAAAGAATAGTTGTATTCGTTCTTCTTTCCTGTACATAGCTGTTTATATTTCCTCTGCTCCTCAACATACTTAGCCTTTATTTCAGTTGAATTGGTTTGTCTAAAAAGCTGTAACAGTTTAAACACTCTCTTTCTGGCGTTTAAACAGTGATAGTCAAACCAAGGTTGTTTACCAACAAAAGGTGTATTACTCTTTGAACCTAGCTTATAATGTGCAGAATTAGTTATAACATTTAATACATCATTAACAGTTTGCGGCGAAAAAGATTTCATACTTTCCTCAACTTTGCTAGTATAGTTCAGACAATCAAAATTCGTCCATTTCAGCTTTGGCAACAATGGTATAATTTTCCCCTCTCCTGCACCCCCTCCCACAGGCCCAGGAGTCTCAACATTTAAACTTACTTCTATTGGCATATGATCTGATCCGGGAAAACCAACAACTTTGAAGTCGTGAATCGAATGTAAACAATTAAAAGTGACCGCTGCTATATCTATGACTGAGTTACCCCTATGTCCAACAAAAGTAAATTCACCCTCTTTGTCCCCTATTGACCTTCCGTTTAAAACTACTAATCCTAAATTGTCACACAAATCTAATATTTTACGCCCATTTGAATTTAAAATGTTGTCTTTTGAATGTCTAATGTCCTCAATCCTATTATTCGAAATGCTAATTATATTTTCAGAAAAACTCTGTTCTATTCCAATACGCCCATTTAAATCCCCTATAAGGACTATATTCTGGAAACAGCTATTATCAAAGAAACTTTGAAGCCTATTATAATCTATTTGCCAACAATTGAAATTTAGGTAAACAGGCACTATAAACAATTGCTCGCAGCCAACAACAATATTGTCGAGCCTAACCACATTAAAATATTCAAAGTTTACAAACGTTACATCGCTTATAAAATGAGAGTTACGATTTAATGCGTAAACTAGACCACCTGAATATCTACCAACATTAGCAGTTCTCACTGCGAAAGTAAAAGTTAAATCAAAGTTACTTAACCTATTTACAATAATATCTTGATCATTTTCCGCGACAAATGTCTCTAAAAATATAATTAAATCAAACTCCTTTATGAACTCTAAAAATAACAAATCATTTACCTTATTTTTTAATCCACAAACGTTATAAGATAAAACCTTGAATTGAGTAAGCCCGGTCGTCGTTGGGTTGTGGTTTGAAGTTAGTCCCTCTGTAGATGGATTGGCGTCACCTCCTCACTCATTGTCGTGGTTGGAAACGCGAGGCGACTGCGTAGGTGTTGAAACTGACACGTTCTGCGACGTACCCGTAGCACTCGCCGACCCCTGCGTTGTTGGAGCTGTTGTCCTCTCTGTTGATATGTCCATCACTACTGTTGATCTGGGTACTTTAAGATCACGTAAGAAGTCTGAAAAATCACGTTTGAAGAGTGTCTGCAACAATTGAGCACCATCCTGGTTGCCTGCCTTTAGTTCACCTCCCTCCCATGTGAACCGATGTCCTTTGAAAGTCATATGGTCGAAATATAATGATATCTTATTCTTTTGTTTCCCCGCCACACTTTCAATTTCGTCTCTAAGCTTTGACAGACATGCTCGTTTTTCACGCACTTCTTTAGGATAGTCTCTATGCACTGAATAACCGGTGCCTTTTAACTCTCTTACACGTGACATAATATAGTAGATGTCGGCGTCATTTGGTAGGTGTGCAATGATTGCATTGTTACTTCCCCCTAGAGGGTGGGCTCTATTTACAAATATAGTATCCGCACTCCCGAAAACATCGTTGCAAAACTTTCGCACGATTTCATTGAAGTTACGTGTTTCCTTGGACCACTTCAACCCCCTAAATATGAGGTTGTTACGCCTAGATCTTCCTTCAAGATCGACTAACCTAGACATAACCACACTCTCTCTCTGTTGCAAGTCCTCTATTTGTTTCCTTAGTACAATATTCTCCTTTTGTAACTCCGACACTTGCCCCGTGAGTTGAGAGAACTCCTTTTTGGTTGCCATATTTTCTAATTTACTATCAAGCAACTGGCCCAAGTCCCTCAGAAGTTGGGATCGTGTAATATCGCCTACCTTTTCTTCACTGCCCATGTTGGCCGTTACCGTCTCGACGTCGTCTGCACACTCCGGCGACGAATAAGATCTCTGCCGTTTGAATGACCTATTTACTGGTGTAAAATATTTATCGATTTTTGATTCTGTCATATGACCACTTAACACGCACTACAATTGTAATAATTAGATGGTAAATCCACTAGTCACTCACTGTCCACTATCGAGTCCACACTGGTTTAGCCGAGACCACGTTGCCGCACCACTTATCGCTTATAACTGCTGTTTACTGCCGGTTTGCGGTAAATTTAGCTTATCACTCCGTGTAAATCAGTCAACATAACCGGATTTCACTCAGATTTACTGATAAAATGTCGTTAAATTGTGAAAATTTAAGAATATTTAGGAGCTTGCAATCACGCACGTCTGCTTTGAATCGCACCAGTAGTGCCAACCTCCTATCATATTCATTGACTCGATAAGCTATAGAAACTGAAAGAATCAGGATTCGTACATTATTCACTTTGACCATGCAAAAAAGCAGATAGAATATTTTTAAAAACTAAAAACTCACCAATACAGTTGCGAGGACCAGCACTGAAAGGTATGAAAGCATAAGGATGTCTTGTCTTGACTCTTTCAGGCAAGAAATTGTCTGGATCGAATGTCTCCGGATTTGGATACCAGTTGGGATCTCGATGCAAATGAAAGATGCTAACAGTTAAGTTTGTGAGAGCTGGTACCGTATAATCACCTAAAAAAGAAAAATAGATAACGTAAACGTATCTATTTTTCTCTTTAAACTTTTGTCATTATAGACTATTGGACATCTGTCTCCATTTTAGCAACCTTACCCTTAACCTTAAACCTACCCTAAACCTTACCTTTAACTTAACCTCTATGCTGTTAGTGCTGGCACCTATTTTTTTTCCTAACATCATACCAAAAACCAGAGTTGTATTTATGTTAACTACTCATCTTAATGAAACAATATCTGAACAAAATAACTCATCTCAGACAAAAATAACACCTATGTTAACTTCAGTATGCCTTCAACAACACATTTTTGTTATGTATCAGTGTCAGTGGTTATAGAAGTTAAAGCCCCCCCCCCCAAAAAAAAATTGTATACATTTTGTTAGTATAAATTTAAACATACCTACATTAAGTTATAAAACCATTACGGAGGTTTTTGGACACAGTTATAGACCTTGAAAATGGCTTTAAAAATAGCAAATGTTCCGGGGTAGGACCCCCCAAACCCCACTCTGTGGTGTGGAGCACCCTGGTAGCCCCCCTCTTGACAAAGTCCTTAGCCTAGAACCGCCACTGCTTAGCTCTATACAAACAACTCATCTTTATTTGAACAACATCCATGTTAACTACACATCTACTACAATGCCTTTGTCAAATACTTACCACCAAGCCATCACACTTATGTCATCATCTCATATCCATGCTATCATGACTACTTTAACAACTCACTTCTATACCAACTAATTACATCCATATCAACTAATATCTATATCAACTAATAATCACATCTATATCAACTACTCACTTCTATATCAACAACTCACCTCTATATCAACTACTCACTTCTATATCAACAACTCACCTCTATACCAACTACTTTTTTTGTCCTAGGACACTAGGCATGAGCGCGGAATTATTTTTCACATTACCTCAGGCAAGACCCAGGGGGTTACGGAATCATCACTTATAAAATCCATTGGTGATTTGGCGGGATTTGAACTTGGGACCCCAGGAACCGAAGTCCCGCACTCTAACCACTAGACCAACTCGCTCCCCCTATATCAACTACTAGACTCTATATATCAACTACTTAACCTCTATATGAACAACTCACGCAACTCTAGATCCTCATCTAGCCAGCGAGCTATCATCGGTACACTGGGGTAGAGCCTCTGTGCCTCCTTGATAACTCTTTCCAAATACTTCATGTTACTCAAGTCATCATAAGTAAAGCTTCGCTCAGTACCTTCCAGGACATGATCTAACTCCTCAGCTACCTTTTCCTGGGGAATTTTTAAACAAATGTTTATTGTTTCAGATTAGTTTACAAACGCGGAACCTTAACGGTGCTTGTTTGATAGTAAAATAAAATAATAATGTAAAATTTAGCAATTATTTGCTTAGGCATATTTTGTTAAGCATTTTTGCTTGGGGAAGAGAGAGATTTGGGCTAATAAATACTCAATAAAAAGGCCACAAAACTTACTACAGATTTCTCGTCCTAATACTGTATAAGAAAATAATCATCCAGAGACAAATAAGGTTAAAAGACCTGTTGTCACCTTATGACCAAAGCCTTGTCCTGAGATTATGAGTATTTCGGCTCTTCAGCTATTATCAGATTGTTGAATAAGAAATTACTTGGCTAAAGAAGTGAGTCAAAATTTTGAATCAAAACTCATGAACATCACATAAAACAACGACTAACCGTTTAAGATTAAGTTTTTAAATGGTGTTAGTGTTTTATGTCACATACTATGTGTTAATGTGGTTTGTTAAAAAAACAAAAAAAAAACACACTTTTGGGCAAGATAAGTTATAATACGACGATCTGATGATGGCTGAAGAGCCAAAATGTGCATTCCATGGAGGACGAAACTTGAATGAAGACGCATCAGCATGAAGAGCCCAGATGTGCATTCCATTGAGACTTGAATCAAGATGCAACAACAGTATTTTAACCTTTTTAATTGTCAAACAACTGGTCTGGAAACACCACAACAAAAAATGAAATTCTCCAGAAAGTAGACTGATAGACCTTAGCATCTGTATCCTCCCTGAAGAAGTCCTAGTGTATTTACTTGTATTACCTCAGGTAATCTAAATTTTCAAGTAGGCTAGCTAAAACCAATCCGAAAAACCTTTGGAATCAGCCATATTTGTTTAGAAAAATAATATATTATTGTTTGTCAGAGATTTTTCTCTCAATTTTAATGTCCATACCTGGATGTCAGGGTGTTTTCCCAGCAGGTATAAGGTCCACACTATAGCCATTGCTGTTGTATCATGACCCTGAAAAATAAATAAAATATATTTTTTAGTATTTAAAAGTATCTTTAGATAAAAAAAAAAAAAACTTATAGATAAATGACTTTAGATAAATGAACTTACTTGATATCAATTTTAAACAACTGTGTTGCATTTACGAAGCTTAAGACTATTCAATTTTGTTCTTGATTCTTGTTGTTGTTGTTGTTGATTCTTGTTGTTGTTTAATATTTATAACAAACTCGTATGTTTGTGTATAAGCTACAAAGCCTTTAATTATTGAATACAAACTATTTGACTCTATGATAAAAAGGTAAAGAAGTTAACCGAGTTCAGTCATAATATAATGAAATGATTACAAATTCCAATAGGTTTAATTTATCCACCCACATGTGCACTTTGATTACAAGCGAACCTAATGAGTAAGCTTGATTTTCATTAGTATATATTTTTTAAATCCAATATAAAAAAAACAATTTTTCTGCAGGCTTCTCATGACGAACCAAACGTCTGTGGGTTTTACAGTCTAAGTTAATTTCTTTTTAAAATCGTTAAACCACAAAATTTTTTCTATCAACAATAAAACAACGTGATTTTTTTAAATTGCAAAAGTTGTTATTGGTGAAATTGAATACTTTTTCTGCTGCATGAACTAGTGATTTCAATGGTTATAGGGCTATAACAACTTGTCAAAAGTTATTTGTGAGGGAACAGATTAGCCTTGCAAGCTGCAAACTGTTAATATTTTAGAATTGGATTAAGTTACAGGAAGTTATTTATTGAAATGTTCACCTCAAACATGAAGGTGTCCACTTCCTCTCTGATCTCCAAGTCTGTGAGAGGGTGAGTCATTGTTTCACAAGTCTCCAACAGCAGATCTAGAAGAGCCAGTCTTCTCTTATACCCTGGCGACAGAGTTAGGTTTATTTGTCAAAACTTAAACCCTATTATTCTGCATGACATGCTGTGCTTGTAAAGAATAGCTCTTATAACATAAACTTATTTGAGAACAGTTTGCAGCAGTAATTTAAGTTTAAGAGATGTACTTTTTGTTAAACTCACCTGGAATGTCTTCATTCATTTTATCATCTTTAATCTTCTGTTGTCCATTTTTTCTGTGTTCTTTTCTTTCTCGTATTACCTACAAAGAAATATATATACAGTGTGTCACAATAATGCATAGCGGGCTCTGAAGAAACCAGGTTTTACACACAAATATTATAATAGAAAACAGTGTGGATCATAATCATAAGCAAATTACGTACCGGTAACTAACCCAAATCCTAACTAGTATCTTTGTAGTGTAGCAAAAATTAAACGTTCAAAACTGCTTTGCTAAAAAAACTCTATAGACTCAAGACTCACTTTTTCTCTCGTGTTATAAACGTTACTTTTCGCTACACTACAAAGACTAATTATTTTCTGAACATTACAAAGCTCATAGTATTTTTCAGGATAAAACTTCAATTTAAAGTTAAAATTTACATTAGTTGTACAGTTTTGGTTGTTGAAAGTTAAAACAGTTGACAAAACAATAACAAGTCTTGGTTAGTTTACGTCGGCAAAATCCATAAAAGATAGTTATATAACATTACTTTCGCATAGTTAACATTCTTTTGCCGTAGTAAACAATGTAATGATGAATTACAAATTATTCTTTATTAGTTTGCTTGTGCATAAAATCTTGACTATGTAACACAATTTTACCATTACATTGATTTTTATTATCTTTTTAATGTGTTGACTTCCATACATTTGACGGGCTACCATTTTAGATATATCAAACTCTGGTTTCACCATTCTTTAAGATTTTGTAAACTCTTCAAAATGAGGTGTCACTTGAAGGGGCTTAACATTTAACAATTTTTAGTTACCCCCAAAATCCTCAATTTTTTGGGAAACCTCAAAATTCCCAAAATCATAAAATGAAACTTTGTAGGACCAACAAAAGGATATCTTTGTATATTTCATTAGAAAAATATTAGATGCGGGGTGGGGGGGTTCATGACTTTTTATTCACCCTGTAGAAGAAGGGGCTTATTATTTCAGTTTTGAACTTACGTTCTCAGTAAAGCTGTGCAGTTTCTGCAAGCACTGCATGTAACGTTTTCCTGCAGCAGTCCTGTAGTAGACTGAGTCTGGGTACAGCCAAGGACGATACTCTCTGTATGTTATCAACTCGTTCACTCTGACAAAACAATCAAGCAATAACATACTGAATTTACTTTAGCAGAGGTCCTGTTGAGCAGTTGAATAGTCGGTGTAGTCGTAAATATTCTAGTGCGGGAATGCTTACCAGTGTTTTGGAAAAACACATGGCTGCCTATTAAAGAAATAGGATTTTTTAAAGCAGAGTGACCTTTCCCAGGTGCCTACCGTGGCTACTACTCAATGATGTATCATAAAAATGTTAAGGGTCCATGAATCACATACATAAAATATCTCTTTAATAATGGTTCTAATAAAAAAAAAAATAAAACATCACTCTCCCTTACTACCATTCCTTGTGTTGAACATTAAAGTATACCAAAACTCAATAATTCAATTGTTTTGTAAAATATAAATCGACTTGAACTGATATTTATATTGCATGACCTTTTAAAGTGTAGCTTGTTTAGGTATGAAAATACTTTATAGAACTATTTAAAACAGATTAAATTATTTCTCTGTGTTCAATGTTCAAACTTCAACATGCAAGTGCAAGTTGCACAAGCAAGTGAACTTTGATAGTTTAAATGAAGTATAATGTCCATCCTATAAATTATATTAGTTAAACATAGTGACTTACTCATACACTGTAGAAACATAGTTTTCATGTTCCGCACTCTCTTGAATATTAAACGTAGTTCCCATTGCAGTTTCTGGAATATAATAGAAAATGAAAATTACACACACATAATTAAAACATACATTAACATATTTACAAAAATACATATATTTCTATTGTCTAATAGGCGGGGAGCGAGCTGGCGTAGTGGTTAGAGCGCGGGACGTCAGTCCCTGAGGTCCCGGGTTCGATCCCCGCCAAGTCACCAATGGATTTTTTCAAAGTGATAATGCCGCTACCCCTAGGTCTAGCCTGAAGTAATGTGAAAAACAATCCCAGGCTCGTGCCTAGCGTCTTAAGAAAAAAAAGTCTAATAGGCGAGTAGATACCTGGTTGGTGGTGTTGGCTAATGTGAACACTGAACAGAGATATTATACATCGATGTGGGAAACCAAAGGTCTTGGATCTTGGGTTCGCGCACAGGCATCCACTTAAAATTATTAGTTCCCACGTTATCGACAGGATTGCCTCCAAGTTTTCTCCATATGGGCGAATTGAAGACCATAAGACATTCCTAAAAGCAGGTTTCTAAAAAGTAACACTGGGCTGGTAAAAATGGTAAAGGTTTAAATATTAAGAACCTCCTGAATCTATTTCAATCAATTATAAATAAAGAAATTTAAAAAGAGAACATTTAGCAAATGTTTCCATAGGTTAAAGTTGTAATCCATCCAACATAACAGAACAAATAATTAAATTGCACGATATCAATACTTTACTTAAAATGTACAAAATATTTAACTTTGTTTAAATCTACCTAATGATAGTTTTGTTACTAAACCATGGTGAACAAATTAACTTACCACACACGATATCCAATGTACATCTAGATATTAACGGCATCAAGTCCACTTCTGACTCTTGAGAAAGTTTGTGCAATTTTTTCACAAATATCTTCGACCTCTCCACAAAAACTTGAAGAAAATCTTCAAGGATATTAAAGTGAAAAGCTGGAGTGATGAGTTTTCGATGGAGATGCCACTTTGTTCCTACAACACAGGAATTTTCATTAAGTCTAAACTAAGTTTCATTAGTCCACTGAATCATAATTTAAATCTTCAGAACTGGGATTTCTAAGTAGGAATTTTTGTGTTAAAAAAATATATTTAGGAAAAATGCACAGTTTACCATTTTAATTTACTTGTGTATTTTAGCTGTTTACAAGCACAAAAAAAAACTATACGGCTTATTTCTGTGTTATTTACTTTTTAATATCGGTCATGGAATAAATGAACTTCATAGACTGAATGAATAAATTTGTGTTTAGTTATCTATTTCATGGCTTTATACAACCCATAATCTACACACGAGCTTATCAGCCAATAAAAATGCATATAGAAAGGAAATGATATAAGGTAAACCAAATGATGTGCTGGAATTGCAAAACCGTGACATTATTAGAGTTCATCTTACTTTTTTAAAATTGTGTTTCTTTCTCGTAAGACATTACAAGACACTACAAGAGTATCCATGACTAATTACTATGTGTAAAAACTACTGACCTCACATATACTTGTTCTTTTTACGTCTTGTGTTGTGTTAAATTATTTTTTTTTTCATTTTGACATGTTATAATAATTGAAAATGTAGTACTTGTGAGTAGTCTGCAGCTTTACTGAGATGAAAACATGGACTACAGACGGACGGGGGCAATAAAAGGAAGCATATTTTTTCGTAAATTAAGCCCAGTGAGACAATCTATAGCTATGTTTTTATTAAATGTTTGTTTTTTATTTTATTGTTTTTATTTTTTTGTGTTTTTTTAATATGTTTGTTCGTCTAATCTGAAGGTTTCTTGGCTATGATATTAAGTGTTGTCAATCTTAGTTAAATATTTAATTTGTCATTGTCGTATCCATGACTGTTGTTGTCTAGCAAAAGGTTGACCATAACAGTAAGACTAGGGGGTGGACCATTCCTACACAAACTTAAAAATGTCACTAGCGTTAACTATGAACAAAAGTCAAATTAGCAAACAGCGCATGATTTTGTCGCGGCGCATTAAGTTAGCCCACTTAAAATGCAGTAAGTCACTACCTCCTCTGCTGTACAAGTGCCAAGCATCTAGCAGTGAAGTCGCTGAATCATGTTGACGAAGTGTAAACGTGTTTAACTAAAGTACTAATTATATTAGTACTGACTGGTATTGTTCTTAAATCTTAGTACAAAGAAGTTAAAGAGACAGGTATAGCACAAAAACGACCTAAAATAATATTTGACAAAAACTATTGTTTCATGCAAAAAAATTAAAATTTAAAATAGTAGTTTATGAGCTTAAAATGAGAAACTGCTCATCCAGGAAAGACCACATTGTGTTAAACTGTTAAATTCACCTAAAAATTACTACCAGGTCTTTAGAAGCCAGGCCAAAAAGTTGAATAATTTTACTGCCATCATCAGAAGTAAGCTCACATTTTTCCTATGCATTGTCAACGGTTTATTCTGCTTTTCAGCTAAATAGGGCCAAAAGAACAATTAGAGGTGGGGTATTTTAGCGCTCAATACTAACACAAATATACGCAACCAAAAAAGTAAGATATGAATTTATCTTAAAAAACAAAAACAATTATAACAAAATATACTCAAAGGAATAACAATTGTTCTACACAAATTTACGGCAATTATAGCAAAAGAAATACTTAACCCTTAGAATAAATGGAAGGCTTTTATGGATTATCTTTACCTGAACTAGTCAATAATCCCGTTCCCAGCCAAGACTCCATCCTTTCGTAGGCCGTGCTCTTCTTTATGTGCTTTATACTGTTGAGAAGTACCTAAAATTAAAGTTGGTTTATTCAAGTACTTTTCGTCCCGATAAAAGGTGTTGCAAAAATACCACTGAGCACTACAAATTGCATATCATACTAACACAATTTAAGATTTTCATATTTACACATGATTTATTGGACTATAGAACGTATTTTGGTTAATCTTGCTTGGTTTTTACATTCATAGGTTTATAATGGGTCATTGATGTCATTATAAAACAGTGACTTCACTTTACCATTGAACAGTACAGTTTATTTAGGCTGTAGACACCGAAAAACTGTTAAAACATTTAGGAAAAAAAATTGTTTGCGTTGTAAACTTAAGTTGAAATACATATCACAAACTCCGGTGTAAAATGACTTTAGACCTTCAAACTTGTTATGTAATTACGCGTTAACATCTATAACAAGCTTACTACATCATAGCTAGATGATAAGCTGTAATTTACTCAACGTTGGAACGTTTTATATGAGTTTGTGCGTAGAGAGATTTACAATAAAAGTTTCGATCTAATGACCAACAATTTTCTAAAACGTATAATTTTAACCATTAGGTTAATACTCTGCTTTATTGTTCTAGATTCATGTTAAAAGTGATGACTAGATGTGTAAGCTTATCGTTAACATCAATTACTTTCAATAATTACGGTTTTGAACAGTTATAACTAAGAACAAGTAAGGTTATTTATGTGTTCTTACCTCCACGTCCTCCGGCTTACACATGTAAACATCTGCACTAAAGTAGACCAAGTTCCACACCTGGACGATTGATCCGTATGTACCGAAGAACTTATCGAATACTTGAAATAGGTCTGAAATCATAAAAAATTAATTATTACTGGTGTACCTATTGTTTGAGGTCGAGCAATTGCGAAGTATTACATGCGTTATTTTAAAAAGAATAACAGTAATAATTAATTTCCGATGACTTTAGAACAGTAGACTCAAAGATTATGGAAATACTCACGATGTACATAACAGATCGATATAATCAACATTTCTAGTAAACATCTTATCATTTTTCAAAAGCTGATCCTGTTTTTGTGTTTTCTACAAATATTTCCAACTCATAGCCGCATTAGGTTGTCCATAATAACGATTAAAAAAAAATAATTTCTATTTCTTCTGCTTGGTGGTGTTCTATCGACTTTCCTACGTTTCCATAGTTTGCAAATCGGCTATTTAATTCGTGTTGCAAATAAAAAGTAATGCTAAATTAAAGTGTACAGAGGAATCCAATATGGTATTTTGAAGTGGTAAAGAAAATAAGATCTTGTCTATGTGCATGTACACGATATCGAAATCTAAAGACATTATGAGTAACTTAAAAACTATTAAATAAAATAAACCACTTGCGTTAAAAAAAACACCAACAATTTAAAGGTCAAACTATCATTAATCTACCACTGTATGGAAATGATCAAATTGCCACACCTGTAAATAGTACGCAAAACAGCTCATTCCCGCTCGCTAAACTAGTAAATCAACTGATTTTATTGTTGGCGTATATCTATAAAAACAATAGCTTTTGGTAAACAAAATAACATAACCTAAAAAAGCAAACAAATGACATTTTCTTTACACCTAAAAAGTTAATCTGTGTGTTATGATGAGTTAATTATGTTGGTAGGAAAAAACTTGTCTGTATTACGAGCACAAACAGTCAATATACAAATAGCTATTTATACATAACTCGGCAAGGTAGTATAGTGATTTCCAAAAGCTTGGTAAATTTTGGTTACGGTATCAGTTTTCTTTCAAATTTACATTTAAAAAATTACTCTGACTATAAAGACTTGTAGTTCTTAGCTTTGAACGAGTAGCTTTGCCTGTCTACGGATATCACACGTTTATCCATGGCAAATTTTCTCCAAATGATTGCTATTTATGCAGCAAAAACATTAAATACTTGATTCAATCCACTAAAAATAAAATTCAACTTTAACTCAATGTCAAAAGCAGACTTGTTATCCTACAAAACCACACCTTCTATTGACGTTCAAGTGGCTAGCTATCCCATTTATAGTTTGATCCTTGAAATTTAGACGATCTCTCAATGCACAACACATATCCTAGATAAAGCTACGAGGCAGTCCCTTAAAAAAGGCACGTGGAAAACCTCTATTTGATGGCTGCTCATTTTAATTTCAAACGATGATTAATCCTCAATTATGGCTCATAGTAACGCGACGGATTACGAATTGGAGGCAGCGATTGATGGATTGGCATCCTGGTTCATCTAACTTAGTATTTATTATTTTTACCCATTCTTATACTTTGCCGGCTTACCCGTTGCTTTGCTTGATATATCCTAGCATTGGTCATATTGTACGGTACAGTTAGCTAATAAAACGGCCTAGCCTTAACGTCCACAGTGAAAGCTTACTTTTGCCTCCAAACTGTTCAAAACAGTCCCCGTATTTTAGGTAATACTATTTTAAGTGTCGGGTTAGAGGGGGGGGGGGGGGGTAAAGCAGAAAAAATTATTTTATTAAATATATCGAAAACCATGTGGTTTAGCGCAAGCATTTCCCTCTGTATAGTCAATGGCTTTAGTAACTAACCATTAACTTTTTCAAGATTATTATGAGTAACTTACCATTCTCGTTTGAAATTTATCGTAGATAATTTTTGAAACAATCTATTTTGCACTAAGCTTTTCATGGCTTTAAAAAATAAAAACACAAATCCTACAATTTTTTCAACTGTAACCCCCTCTCTCCCTAAACCCAACGCTCAAAATGGTGTAACTTTTTACCATACAATATGGCGACTATATCGAATAGTTTGCAGGCAAAAGTAAGCTTTCTCTTTGATTGTCGAGGTTAAGGTACTATTGTACTTAAAGTATTGAACCTAAAGTATAAGTAGTAAGGTATTGTACCTAAGTGGACGGACAAATGAAGGGTAAAAAGAGGCCAACGACCATTTAGAAAAATAAAATAACAATGTCATTTAGCAGTCACGGTAAAGCTGAAAAAAGAACATTTACACAATGGTACTTTTAGTGACTCAATTGACTGAAGTACAGACTAATACTTCCCAAAGTAGAACTTCTACATCAAAACTAGTTGTAACATAGCCTCCGTGTTCTAATCTTTACTTTAATTATTACAATTGAATCAACTTACACTCTCTAGGAACGTTGTACTCCATCGCTGCGCTCATTTTATACTTTGGCTTGGGTCCTGGAAGCTTGTCTATCATCTGTTTGTATCTGTGAAGAGCTAGCAGTTTTCTCAGAATGAATGGCAGAGTAACTAAGACAACTACGGCGATAAGAACTTGGCTGATCCATCCCACCATTGTTCTAGGGACATAACACAAATAACGTTGTTTATTCCATGTTGGACACTAAATTATAAAAAAATGACGACTGAAGTAGTGGTTAAGAGTGCAGGACTTCTCTCTGGAAGCTCTAGGTTCTAATCCCACAAATTACTTTAGTCCTCGCCACCCTAACTTGAGGCAGCCAAAGAAGTTAGGGTGGCGAGGACTATAGTAGCATTTAGCTATGCAATGAAGTCACTTGGCAGTTTGGAACCAACCATACGTATAAAATCTAAACAAAAATCAGGCCAAACGGACTATAGGAATTATTCTCTATGGATATTCGCTTATACAATCCAAAACAATTCAGTGTAATAAGAAAAAAATGTAGTACATCATAATGATTTTCTTGTACTTTTTAAATCTCCAAAAGTGTACTGTAACTGTGAATTGAACGAAAGGAAGCGTTCTTATATACCTGCTTTGAAATAAATTAAATTTCCTCAAATTTGTATGAGTTAAAGTTATGTATCCATTTATAATTATATACTTCAAGATAGAGAATTTATCATTTTGGAAAATTAAAAAAAAAAAAAACTTAGAGTCTAGAGTTAATTATATTATAAGCAAAATGTCATCTTTAATACTGGATTAAGATCCTACAACGTCACTAACGTCAGTAATGAAAAATAATGTCGTGGTGAATTTATTTATCGTTAATTTAGGCAAAAAACTTGCCATTTAAAGATAAAAAAATTGCAAATCAAGACTTTTTTTTATAGTCTATAGCCTATTTCAAACGTGTTATGTGTTATTATATTTGGCAAGGATACAAAGTCATGTTAAAACAAACGAATTTTTATTCAGTACATCTACCTATTTATCATAAGGTTACATAAAATGTATATAACATGTACTGTGCACAAAGAAGAAAAAAAACTTTATAAAATATCATCACATTTTGGATTTTTTGGGAGGACCAGGTTAGTTATATTTCTATCGGCTCTCACAAAAGATGCACTGGAAGAGGCTATTCGTGCCAAAAAGTAGGGCTGATATGCTCCACTATGTGTTATTATATTGTCAAATATAATAACACATATAAACCTATAATAACGCGTTTGAGTTAAGCTGTAGACTACATAAGAAAGTTTGGATTTGCCAATCCATCTTCTTTTTAAATGACAGGTTTTTGGCCCACATGCTTATTTAATGGATGTATACAACGGACAATTGCTATTTAATCCTATACAAAAAAATAAACAAATGAAATTATACATTACAAAAAAGTGGTAGGTACATTCGGTAGCAATATCTGACCAAAGTGCGAACGATGCGGCAAACAGGTTTGGGTGATTAATTAAAATTTAATCAATGACGCTAGCTAAAGATAAGGTTAAAATGTAATCACCGGGCGTTTGTAAACAAAGTAGAGTTTGAAGTGACTGGAAAGCCAGCAGTACATTTTAAGTCTAAGAGTCATAATGATAACAAACTTAAAGATCTTAAAAAGTCAAACAAAAATAAACAATATACAGTGTGATTGTAAAATCGTGAAACGGTGTAATATTTTTTTTTTACTATTATAGAGAAAGTAATGAGACTTGGTATAAATAATAGTCATAAATGTCTACTCTTTTAAGCTTTTATCACTTTTTTATCCCTTAAGGGGGCGGTCCATGAGGATTCGGACAAAATTCATAGCAGGATAGGTCGAGTTTCGTATAAAATTTAAGCCCATAGGTCACGTTGCCGCAAACCATAACTCAAACGGACAAACGAGTCAAAAATTACAACTGTTCAAAGATTTACTGGAAATACAATGTCATTATACAATCCTCAGGGGGCACCCGCTAGAATTCGGAATAAAATCATAAAATTAAGCATAGGCCGGTATGCACATAAAATTAAAGATTTTTATTAGTAGAATACAACGCCCCAAATTTAAGCTCAAGAGAAAAACTGAAAAACTGAGTAAAAAATGACAGCGGTTCAAAGATTCAAAATGGCAGATTCAAGAAATATTCAAACGGCTGCCAATTTTTACACGGCTGTCCGTTTGAGTTTGGGTTTGCGGCAATGTGTCAAAAATAGTAAAGTTTTTAATTTAATTAACAATCGTACTAAAAAGCTTTTAAAGGTTTGGCTACGTCTTTTTGTAGAAAAATGGCAGGAAATGATAGAAACTGAAGAAAACCACACATACCTGAGTGAGTGTTCGGGATGAGATCAACTTGACGTCTGCCACTTAGACTAGACCGGTCCATGGATTTTCAATGGAGGGGATAACACATGCCACAGCTGTTTTGTCACGTGGGAAGATCACGTGATCATCCAGTAATTGAGAGCTACAGCTGTTCAACGGTCAGACCAGCTAGTTGTTGGTTAGGCTTATCGAAAACGTCAACGGTCTCTCCCCATGTTTAGTTGTCGCCAGTTTTTAAATCAAAACCGTAGTTGATGTGAGTCACCTATGAATAGTGAACACCACTTTGCTATCTCTTCTCTATCAGAAATGTATTGAAAAAAATGTAATGCCCATCTACACATTAAACACATTGTACACATTGTACAACACACATTGTGCACATTGAAGTATTGAAGTCTACAGATTAAAAAGATAAGAAAAACTCCATGGTAATATTGGCTAAAATTTTGGATAGAGAAGAGACACCCTAGCGATCTGTGGGTTTCACCATTATTTAAGCTTTTGTAAACACTTCAAAATAAGGTGTCACTTAAGGGGGTTTACATTTAAAATTTTGAGTTGCCCCCAAAATCCCCCATTTTTTGGGGAATACTTATATTCAAAATCATGCAATGAAACTTACCGCTAATTTTGCACGACCACCAAAAGGATATCTCTGTATACTTACTTAGAACAATATTAGATGTGATTTTAGATGTGTGCATCTTGACGTTTTATTCAGCCTAATAGCAGCTAATAGTACCTAACTAATATGAACAATTTAATTGAAAAAATACAGTAAATCATTTCAAAACAAATCAAAACAAAAAATCAAAACAAAACAAACAAATAAAAGTGTACACAAAAGAGTTTGGTGCATTCGGTATCAATATTTGCCAGCAGAGCGGGCGTTGCGGCAATACACAGGTTTGTGAATCAATCGAATGTAATGCATGGCGATAGCAAGAGATGAGATTGGAATTGAACAATGATTCAGCATGCTTATACCGTATCAACTCGCTTATCTGTCAGTAGGACTGTAAAGCGATGTACTGTGTTGTCAATGACGTAAAAGTCAGTGCTTCGTAGATATCTGTGTAAGCCAAACAGCAGGGTTCACTGAACTTAACATACGATTGCCTATCTGTTGAGTAACTTATTGGTGGAATAACATTTAATTTTATGGATTTAAAATGCTTACTATGGATAAAAGGTTACTATGAAATACGTTAATGTGCATTCGATGTATGATTAAGGGGATCCGCCTCCCGCTTAAGTCAGTTTTGTAAATTTGTGGCGATTTTTTGTTTTTGATTCCAATAAATTGTACATGTTCTAAGAATTGTGTCTGCAAAATATAAAGCCATTTCGAGCATTATTTCTAATATTTTTGGATGTTTTCATAGAACCACGCGCTTCGCGATAAGCTTAAACGCTATAACTTAAACGCATATTTTCCGCAAACTAATTTTTCCATGTTTTACTACATACACGTTTGATTAACTTTTGAACCAGACTAGGTAGTCTTAAAATTTTTACCACTTAATCTCGATAGTATTTATAAACTTTTAGCGCATGGAAACCCCCCTACAAGCAAAACTAATATTTTTTTAGTTTAGATATTTTTTTTAATTTTTAAAAACAATTTTTTTATAATTAGGTGAATTTTGTATGTGAGCTAGAATAGTTTCCATGCGACAAAAGTTGTTTTTTTTTCACGTATAAAATAACAACAAAATCATTTGAATTATTTGAAAAATAAAAAAAGTTATTTTAAATGTAATATATCACAAAAATAGCACAAAAAACAGGAAAATTGCCCATATTTATTTATTTTTATTTCTATAAATCATCTTGTTTATAGTGTAGAAGGGTAAAAAACAAATATTGGATTGTAATATTATCAAAAAAGGCTAGAGGAGGTAGATCTCCTTAAAAAGTTCTAGTTAAATCCATGTAACATAAAGAAATAAAACATGTTATTCTAATTTTGAACAAAATAGGGGTTTCAGATGGTATATTTATTGCTTAGCTCTAAGACATTTCCTTGTTTTATTTTATAGAGTTTCATGATATGTTACTAATACAGCCACATACTGTTATTAATTTCTGCAGCAAATTTACTGAAGGCTTGGGTCCAAATGTAAATAGATTTTAAATATTTATTTCACTAACTAAAACCACTCTACCAAAACACATAAAATAAGAAAAACCCAAAAATGAATAAATAAAACAACCGCGCATTTGCTGAGTGGGCAGCTTGGCTGGAAAAGGATCTTGTTATTTCAACAAACATTTATGTTTATCTAAAACATTTTGTACAGTAATAACTTATATGGGCCTTTTTATTGGGTTTACCCTGAATTAGTTCCTAATAGTTATTATTTTCGTATAGAGGGTAAAAATTTGAACTAAACTTCAATAGCATAACTAAATTTTAGAGCTAATTTTATAGTTACAAGATAATAGCTAAACAATTTATATAAATTCTGACAATACATTGGTTTTAAAATGAAATTGAGATGAGTACAGTAAATATGGTACTGTACAGAAACCTGTTTAATGCAATTTTATATGTTGTTAGCTAGAAAATGCCGAAATGAGTATAACAACTTATTTGTGCCACTTTTGGCATATCAGAAACTATAACATTTAGAAAATGCCATAAACCGGGGACTTCGCCTATTTTAAAATTTTCATTTAAGATATAAATTATTTTTTAATAATACTATTTTTAATATAGTGATCCAGTTTTAAAATTGATTTCCAAAACCCCATGTTGTAAATGTAATTTTAAGACTTGATTGATCTTTTTTATACATTTCTAAACCTTATATTTTAGGGATACTATCTGTGCATATTCAATATTTTTACAGCCATGAA